CGCATTCAGTATATCCGATCTCCCCGGACCCCGCATTCACTATATCTGGTCTTCACGGACCCTGCATTCACTATATCCGGTCTCCCTGGACCCTGCATTCACTATATCTGGTCTCCCCGGACCCCGCATTCACTATATCTGGTCTCCCCGGACCCGCATTCACTATATCCGCTCTCCCCGGACCCCGCATTCACTATATCCGGTCTCCCCGGACCCTGCATTCACTATATCCGGTCTCCCTGGACCCTGCATTCACTATATCCGATCTCCCCGGACCCCGCATTCACTATATCCGGTCTCCCAGGACCCCGCATTCACTATATCCGGTCTCCCCGGGGACCCCGCATCCACTATATCCGGTCTTCATGGACCCCGCATTCACTATATCTGGTCTCCCCGGACCCTGCATTCAGTATATCTGATCTCCCTGGACCCTTTATAAAGATGGAAAAGGATATAAAAAGATATCCAAAGCATTCACTATATCTGGTGCAGGCTCTGGGGACCCCAGATATAGTGAATGCGGGGTCCAGGGAGGCCAGATATCTGGTCTCCCCCCGACCCTGCATTCACTATATCTGCTCTCCCCAGACCCTGCATTCACTATCTCTGATCTCCCTGACCCCCTTTAAAGATGGAAAAGGATATAAAAAGATATCCAAAGCCTTGAATATAAAAAATATATGACAAGCGAGTGCACGATTACTTTCAAGCAGCTGGCATTAAGGATGAACCTCTATATCCTCAAAATGACAAAATAAATAAACAACGCAGCACTAAATTCATAAAGTGACAAATGCATATGAAGTGAAGCGCAGGTTATTAGCGCTAAAGTGACCACAACACATATAGAGTATTGCCAAATATTGACGAAACTGTGACTGGAATTTCAATAGTGAATAATTGCACACAAATAATAGTAGTGATAAACTAATAAATATTGATGAATAAATATGAATAAAATATGAATATGAAGATGCATAAAATAAGTCCAAAGTGTTCTGTAAAATCTCCGTGACGTGACTTCCGTGATAAGGGTTTGTAGTATGATTGCACTCACCAGAAGCGCAATGGTAATGCGCATAAATTTATATCCAATTTATCCTCGGCGAACATCTGGGCTCAGGAAAGGAAAGGAACTCCACTGGCACACTGACAGCATACAGGGAATAACTGCAGACCACACACACTGGACCCTCACAGTACACAGGGACAGCTCCGTTAGTACTTCTCCACCAAGGATATAAGTTGCCAAAAGAGGATATTCTCCACCTTGAATGGCTCGCAAAAACAAGCCACAAACAAAAGTACTGATAGTGTAGTATTTGTTATTTACAAGGAAAAATCTTCCATGTGGGTATATCAGCACACTTACAAAAACAAAGATGGCCACCGGCCTTCCATGCGGTCTCGGCGGCGTAAAGGCAATGCGACAAGGCTCCTCTCTAACGCGTTTCGTGCACATGCACGTTGTCAAAGGGATCTCCATATGAATATGCCAATCTGTACTGTTCAATCACTTATTAAGAAGTGGAAAATTGGGGGAAGTCTTGATACCAAAGCCAAGTTTAGGCAAACCAAGAAAGATTGCAGACGGTGTGGTTGTTTTGAAGGAGCACAATACGACAATAAAGTGAAGAAAATGCAGGGCTAATTATACAATAATATGATGTCAAAATAAAGTCTCCATAATTCCCCAAATGAATGGAAGCCGGTGCATAAAAAAAAGTTCAATCCAAAACCGTCACCATACACCCGAAACAGATTGGCTTCTTACCAATTTGACCATACAAAGTCGGTCAACAAGCGCAGTGTGATTTAACATCAATGCAGCAATCGATCCTCAATGGAAATCCCCTCCAGGATGAAAATAACTCCTCCACCTTCAAAGATCTCCAATTAGACACACACACATACATACATACACATACAAACATATATGGGCAGCACAGTGGCTAAGTGGTTAGCACTTCCGCCTGGCAGTATTCGGGTCATCGGTTTGAATCCAAATCACGGCACCACCTGCCTGGAGTTTGCATGTTCTCCCTGTTCCTGCATGGGTTTCCTCCGGGTGCTCTGGTTTCCTCCCACACTCCAAAGACATGCTGGTAGGTTAACTGGCTCTTGTCTAAATTGTCCCTAGTATGTGTTTTGTATGAATGTGAGTTAGGGACCTTAGATTGTACGCCCCTTGAGGGTTAGGGACCTTAGATTGTACACCCCTTGAGGGTTAGGGACCTTAGATTGTACACCCCTTGAGGGTTAGGGACCTTAGATTGTACACTCCTTGAGGGTTAGGGACCTAGATTGTACGCCCCTTGTGGGTTAGGGACCTTAGATTGTACGCCCCTTGAGGGTTAGGGACCTTAGATTGTACGCCCCTTGTGGGTTAGGGACCTTAGATTGTACGCCCCTTGTGGGTTAGGGACCTTAGATTGTACGCCCCTTGAGGGTTAGGGACCTTAGATTGTACACCCCTTGAGGGTTAGGGACTGATGTGAATGTACAATATATATGTAAAGCGCTGCGTAAATTGATGGCGCTATATAAGTACCTGAAATAATAATAATAAATAGAAGAAACTCCCATCCGATGGTCAGCGAATGAGTAAAGAGAAAAGGCAACTCATAGTGTTGTATTTAAAATATACTTTGGCAAATTTATTTAGGTTCCACGTACATCAGAATATAAGATAACCAGCGTGGTAAAACAAGAAGTTTCAATCCAAAAAGATGGCCGCCATCCCTACAGAGTGCGATGACGTCACATGGCAAGGCTCCACCCTTGCCGTGTGACGTCACCTCGCTCTGGAGGGACTTTTTTTATGCACCTGCTTCCATCCATTTGGGGAACCTATATGGACTTTATTTTGACATAACATTATTGTATAATTAGCCCTGCATTTTCTTCACTTTATATCACAATATTGCCTTTACATGTGCAAGCTGCTTTTATTTTGTTTTATTTTATTTACTTTTTGCGGTTTAAAATCTGAGCGCAAGTGTTGGTATATATTTATTTGGACAATATGACAATACTTGAACAAAAAGGAGCTGAATGTTTGCGTTTCCAGAAAGAAGCCTTACTGCACCACTTCCACAGAAAAGTCTGGTTACAATATGACATCAACACCTTGACATGCCTCACCACCCTTTTTTTGTGTCATGGCTGCAGCATATATGTGATGTAGACTTTACCCTTTAAAGGATTTTTTAATAAATACAGAAAAAAATTGAATAGTTTCCTAAAGTTTCACTTAAAAATGAGTGCAATGAAATGTGATTTTAATTTGCAATATTTTAGCATGAAAGACGAATGTGGAACTCCAGGATTCCCCGCTGCCTCTACCCCCGAATACATACCTTTTTTTTGTGAAGTCCTACTGCCACTTCTGTGACGTCACCACAGTTTCATCACCTTCTTCTGGTGGCAGTGGGCCTTCTTTCAGGACTGACTAGGGTTCATGTAAAGATGTGTGAGTGCCACTCAGTCACTGGAGTACTTTGAGCACAGCCTGCTGTTGGTGAACACCCTAGGGCAGGGGTCCCCAAACTTTCTAAACAAAAAGGGCCAGTTTACTGTCCTTCAGACGTTACAAGGGCCGGACTGTGGCCAGTGGGAGTAGAAAAGGTCCCGATGTCAGTGGGAAAAAAATAAGCTCCCCGGATCAGTAGCTTTTGAAATACTTAGACCAGCTTGTCTGGTTTGAACTTCAGCAAGTTGTCTTCACCACGTCTAGATGCCTAAATGCATTGAGTTGCTGCCATGTGATTGGCTGATTAGCAATTTGTGTTACCAAGCCATTGAACAGGTGTACCTAATAAAGTGGCCGGCGAGTGTATATTGTACATTCACATCAGTCCCTGCTCTCAAGGAGCTTACAATCTAAGGTCCCTAACCCGGGGCGGACTGACAACTCATGGGGCCCCTGTGTCCTTGCCCACACCCAAAAAAGCCTATGAAAAAGCCAATGAAAGGTACCAGGGGCATCTCATGGGGCCCCCCCCTGACCCTGGGCCCTCGGGCAGTGCCCGTGTGCTCAAATGGTCAGTCTGCCCGAGTGGGAGGAATTCTGCCCTATCATTGATGTCATTGGATCCTATCATTTGTGTCACTGGAAGCAATTGTGCCTCATCATTGGGGTCAATGGAAGGCGTTGTGCCCCCTTCATTGGTGTAAGTGGGGGGGGGGGGGGAATTACATCCAATTGGTATCAGTGGATGAAATAGTGCCCCAAGGGCCAGATAAAAGCAAGAAAAGGGTCGCATCTGGCCCCCAGGCCACAGTTTGGAGACCACTGCCCTGGGGCAGGGGTGGGCAACTGTGGCTCTCCAGCTGTTGGTGAACTACAAGTCCCATCATGCCTCTGCCTTTGGGAGTCATGCTTGTAACTGTCAGTTTTGCAATGCCTCATGGAACTTGTAGTTCTACAACAGCTGGAGGGCCACAGTTGCCCACCCCTGCCCTAGGGGATGTGTAAAAGACAGGCTGGGCTCACAGGAAACGGGAAGAATGACAGAATGTTGGTTCAGTCCTCTTCAGAGCAGAACAAGGAGACAGGCAGGAACAGCAATGGAGAGAGGAGAGGGGGAAGTAGAACTTTTATATATATAAAAAAAGCACACGCCTGTAGAAGGTACATATAGAGATGTTCACACACCATTACCAAAGTGCAACTTTTTTTTTATTTGTGTTAATTCAAAGAAATGGTCACTCTGCATATTTGTTTGCTAGAATAACAGTCACCTGAATTACCAGTAAAGAACTAAGCTCTGTTGGTAAATGGCGATACTCCAGGATGCATCAGTGTTGGTTTGGGGTAATCTGTGACACAGCAGCCGTCTTTATCCCAGAGCCGCACAGCCAGCCACACACTGCCAGACGTGAAACTTGAAGGGATTAGAAGTTTTTGCAGAGACGTTTATGTTTTCTTGGGCTGGGAGATGTAACATGACCAATAAAATGGCTTCTGTACATTTGCTGAATGGAGTGGCCCCATCTTATTTCTTGACTATCTGGATAACATCTTCATGCTCCATGTTGTGGGTGAGGCCTACTCTCTGAGGGCTGTATTTGGTGCTGGTCCCCTGCAGAGATATAAATAAAGCCTAAGAATAGCTGGAATGAAAGCGGAGTTCCGCTCACTTGTCAAAATATATAAGTCAGCAGCTACAAAAACTGTAGCTGCTGACTTTTAAAAAACAGCCACTTACCTGTCCCTCGGTCCCGTGGTGTGTCCCCCGCAGCCCGTTTCACTGGCCGTCCTGTATTCCACGAGGCCGAGATCTTCAGTGTGGGCACCCGGCTGTGATAGCTTCACAGCCGGGTACCCACTGCGCATGCGCGAGTAGCGCTGCGCTTCATGAATGGTCCTGTAGTCTTCTGGGACCTGTCACGTGTCCCAAAAGAATACAGGGAGGGAGGACACCTTTAATTTCTGATCGCCTAAGCAATCGGACCGGAAGTGGGAGCGGGTACCTGTCAAATTCGGGTACCCGCTCCCCCCAAAGGTGCCAATCCTTAATGGGGAGCGGGGGAGCAGTCCTAAAGCGGAACTTCCCCCTTTGGGTGGAGCTCCACTTTAAAAACAGAAAATCAACGCAAGGGACATAACTCACAGTTAGTAGCTATGTCCCTTGTGCCGATTCCTCTTCTTTCAGTTGAAATCCTCCTCCTTCCCTGCCCCCCACCCATTCCCACCCTGTCATCTTCCAGTATAGCAGGGAGTCATACAACTAAGGGGCTGTCAACAAAAGAGCCCAACTACATATACACTTTCCGCCTAGCTTCTCTATTTGATAGTAGAGGCCATATCACAGCTTCTATGAATGGAGCAGGACCTATGACCAGAGGACAGGCGGATGATTGATAGCTTCACCCTCTCCATTCAGAGATCCAACGTCCTGTACTACAGCTTCTATGAATGGAGCAGGACCTATGACCGGAGGACAGGAGGATGATTGATAGCTTCGCCCTCTCCATTCAGAGATCCAACTTCCTGTACTACAGCTTCTATGAATGGAGCAGGATCTATGACCGGAGGACAGGCGGATGATCGATAGCTTCGCCCTCTCCATTCAGAGATCCAACGTCCTGTACTACAGCTTCAATGAATGGAGCAGCTGGGTGAAAAGTGCAGGCATAGTCAGGGTTAAGACACTGTTGTGTGAGACACTTACCCAAACCAAAGCATATTTAAATTGACTAGCGAGGGTCCGGTGAATCCGATGACACTGAAAATGTAAACAAAGCTGGTTTAACCACCTGACCTCTGGAAGGTTTTTGCTATTCAGCACTGTGCTACTGTAACTAGCAATTGCTTGGTTATGCAACACTGTACCCAAATTAAATTTACATCTTTTTTGCACACAAACAGAGCTTTCTTTTGGTGATATTTGATCACCACTGGGTTTTTTATTATATAAATAAAAAAAGACCGAAAATTCTGAAAAAAAAAAAAAAAAAAACAATATTTCTGCTTTGTTATAAAACATAAAAAAAAAAAATCAAATGGCTTCATAACTTTTTGCCAAAATGTAGTCTTCTACATCTTTGTTTAAAAAAAAAAAAAAATCACAATAATTGTATATTAAATTGTTTTGTGTGAAAGGTATAGCATCTATAAACTATGGAATTTATGCAGCTAAAGGCGCTATACTAGTAATGGGGGTGATCAGGGACGTATAGTAGGACTGTAATAGTGCGGAGGGCAATCTGGCACTAACAGACACTGGCTGGGAGAAACGCTGATACAGTGAATAGTGATAATACTGTACACTGTACTAATGACACTGGCTGGGAAGGGGTTATTATCAAGGGGCAAAGAAGGAGTTAACTGTGTGCATAACAAGTGTAATGTGTGCTGCTTTTAATCACAGATCAGGCTGCTTTATAGTTGATTTCAGGGAGAAGAAAGAGCCAGATTGCTGTCTGTGTGTTTGTAAACACAGAACTCTGTGCTGTGACTGGCCACAGCCGATCAGCAGGTATAGAGTCAAAATCATTGGTTGCAACTTGCTGACAAACTTGTGCTATGTCCAATCACAGCACAAATCAGCAGGAGGCCCAAAAACCAGGAAGTTGACCATGATGTATAGGTACGTCCCGGTCCCTGGCTGTGCCGCCCACTAGCAGTAAATTTGCTATTAATGGGCATCTAGTGGTTAATAGGTCAAAGGGCACAAAATAAAAACAATGCAGATTAAATGGGCTGACAGAAAGTGCAATTGTTTTTATAAAATTTAGCTTATTGCTTAAAATAAGAAAGAAAAAAAAAATTCTTTTACATCAACTGAATATAAAATATTACTTCTGAACATTCAATGTTACCACTTCCTGCCAGCATGTGGCAAACGACAGAAATAACAGCAGTTATCATCCAGCTAATGCAGGCCATACATGGGTCGAATCCCGAACAATTTTTCGTTCGAAAATCGGAAACGTCGTTCACTGAGTAATCCGATGGCGCCATCATTGATTTCGAAAATCGCCCGGCCAAGTCATAAAGTTCACCCCATATAACTGGCAAAACTTCTGTTCTTTCCAGGTCACGGCTCATGCGCATATTCTTTTCGGAAAAACGATCGTACGATTTGACCATCATTGAATCGAAAATTGGCCGTTTTTCACGCATTTTCCAACACGCCCGATCACCGAAAAGGGGAGGAACCACAAAAAGCGGCCGGTGCCATTTACCCACTAACAGAGCAAAAATCTGCCGATTATTATTAATCTTAGGTCCGATTTTCGACGATCGGTCGATTTTCGACCCATGTATGGCGGTCTAACTCGTCAGCTGCTGCTCTGAGACAGATTTGATTGGTGAGAGAAGTCAGATTATACACAGTGCAGGTGCAGAGGATGGACCCACGTGCAGAGGATGGACCCACGCGCAGAGGATGGACCCACGCGCAGAGGATGGACCCACGCGCAGAGGATGGACCCACGCGCAGAGGATGGACCCACGCGCAGAGGATGGACCCTTCTACTTTGAAGGGTGAAGTCTGTATAGTATAGTCAGGTTTCAGGGTAGCTAAAAGCTGGCAGGCAGTGCTGGTCGTTCTAAAGAGAAAGCCCAGCATTGTTTATAAAGACTCCTAGATGCACCCTGTATTACAAGGTGACAATGCCTACTGGGTTTACCCCCTGTATTAGCCTTTCAAATAAAGACATGGGTAGCAAAGAAACCAATCTACTGATCGGCACTCTGCCTCTGATCCAAGCAAGTAACAGGCAGGTTGGTTGTAACCTTAGTCCCTTCACGCCGGCGCCTCCCGGCCCTTTAAGGGGTTTCTAACGCTGGGAGGCGGGGTGGGGTTTAGAGTCATGTGTCCACCGTGATTGGAGAGATCGGGACCGTTCCGAGGGACGCCGTCACATACGCTGGCAGCGCACAAGGCTGGGCCCTGACGCCGAGCGGCCGCATATTTGCGTACCATTTGTAAACAAATATGCTGAGAGCACGCGCCCTGTGAGCTCCCAGCACGTGTCAGTGTCCTTCGGAAAGGTCCCGATCACTGCGGTCACATGACCCTAAACCCCACCTCCTGGTGTCAGAAACTCCTTAAAGGGCCGGGAGGTGCCGGCGTGAAGGGATTAAGGTGCCTAAAGTTTAAGGCTTCATTCACATGGGTGTATGGATTTTCCTTCATTCACATGGGTGTATTTTTTCCTTCATTCACATGGGTGTATGGATTTGCCTTCATTTACATGGGTGTACGAATAGGTACTCCCATGTAAATGAGGCCTTAAAAGAGAGTCCTTAGTCTGGCAGCCTTTCCACGAGTATGAATGCTCAGTTTGATCAAGAGTTCATGTTTTTTGCAGAGGGGAGGGGAAGATGGCGCCAATCACCTACAACACTGCTTACCCAGAAGGGAATACAATGGTAAATGGGATTTTTAAACAGTTGGCTGGATGTTTGCAGTAACATCACCCAAACTGATTGACAGAAGATGTCATTTTAAAGCGGAGCTCCATCCAAAGGAGACGTTCCGCTTTAAGGACTGCTCCCCATTAAGGATTGGCACCTTTGGGGGGCGGGGTACCCGAATTTGACAGGTACCCGCTCCCATTTCTGGTCCGATCCCCTAGGTGATTGGAAGCGGAAGGTGTCCTCCCTCCCTGTAGTCTTTAGGGACACGTGACAGGTCCCAGAAGACTACAGGACCATTCATGAAGCGCAGCGTTACTCACGTATGCGCAGTGGGTACCTGGCTGTGAAGCCGCAAGCTGTCACAGCCGGGTGCCCACACTGAAGATTCCGGCCTCCTGGAATACAGGACAGCCGGTGAAACGGGCTTTGGGGGGACACACCACAGGACCGAGGGACAGGTAAGTGGCTGTTTTTTAAAAGTCAGCAGTTACAGTTTTTGTAGCTGCTGACTTTTACTTTTGACAGTGTGAGTGGAACTCCGCTTTAAGGTCTATTTATGAATATTTTCCCAGAAGATATGCACAACTTTCATTCAGGATTCACACATTTTTTTTCTATTTAAACCAAAATAGAAAAATGTGTAGATCATGAATGAGAACATTTATAAATAGAATCCTTTTTGGTTTTTGGAAGATATAACATGCTCCAGGTGAACAAATGGGTTGGAAGCGTAGGTGGGTGGTGGATAAGTAAGTGTTATAATGTACCATATGGATAAACCTACATGATAATATACCACTCATTACAAATATGTATTAAACATTGGAAAGCCACCATTGTATCATGAACATATGACATTTTATAAATGGTCTTAATTAAGGGAAAAACAAATATATACTGACCACATGTTCCACGGAAGCCCCCTTTCTGAGGATAATTGCATCTGAAAAGTCCGGTCTCTCTGTACAGAAATAGAAAGGAAATCCACCATGTAATTCATTTCATAAATATAAGTAAGGCACAATGTAACTTGAAATCCAATTTCCCTGCACCCAGAATGCACTTAGTTCCAGATTCAAGTCAGGGTAAATTGAGTGGATTCTAGGTCATGTGTCTAGGTTGGAGTTGCAAGTCAACCCTGTTGTAAGTGGGGTTGGGGTGTTTTATCAGAAGTTTCGATTGTCTGTTATCATATATATATGCAGGTCCTTTACCTCCCATCCACCAATCATGTGTGTTAAATGGCTTCCTAGATCCAAAAGCACTCAAAACACACAAGTGCATTATAACGTAAGCCTGTCACTTTGCCCACACCTAGTACTTCTGAGCAGGAACGGGACAAGGGGTGGGTGAGCAGGGCGGCTGCCCTGGGCGCAATGGTTCACTGTAGGGTGTGGGCGTTCTCCTTCTGTTACAAGGCTTACAGGAGTAGTGATGGCGGCAGGATCCCCTAAGCCTGCACATGAGGAATGTGAGGGACGCAGTTTGGCATCTTTGGCTGGATGACCTTGTCCCGGCACTGATTCTGAGTATGGGGGGGGGGGGGGGGGGGGGGGGGGGGGTAACATGGGATCTACCCATCTTTCTGCTATGCAGTGAATGGCACCTGACTGGCCAATTGCCATTAGGAAACAGTCGATGGGAGGAAGATTTCTATCCCTCAGTAAGCTGAGGACGAGACCAACACGGCACGTAAACTAGGCTTTCTACCTGGGGCTCAGACAGACAAATGGGTAGTAAAGTGGAGGTAAACAGTGGCTGCAAAGGAGATGGGCTATCAGGGGAACCTGTTATTTTTCAGGTGTTTTGGTTCTTAAATGTGAAAAGATGAGCATAAGCGGTGGATAAACAATACTTTATTGTCACTGCATACAAACAACAAAATGTATCAAGTTACTCATTACAACAGTAATTTAAAAAAACATGTCAATACAACCACACATACATACTCCTAAAGCTGGCCATAGACGGAGCGATTTTTCTTTCCTGCAGCCACGGGTTGCAAAAAAGAAAATCGCTTAACTCCCCCTTCAACATTGTCCGTGCTGATGTGGGAATCCCTCCTGCAGAGCCATTGTGCTATCAGTGATTACTGTGTGTGGCTATAATAGCCTCTAGCAATAATCACATGCAAAATCCCACAGGCTGGTTGCACCCAAGTTGTTCGATCGATCAGCTTGGGTATATTCAGTCTGCCCATGCATGGCTTGAATCTCGGCTGGTCCCTGCTGAACTGGTCGAGATTCCAGCTGTCTATGGCCGGCTTAACACCTGCCCACATATCTGTTCTTAAAAATAGTCAAAATTTATTTTTTTTTTTCCTCAAAAAGTAAAAAAAGTGGTATAAGTGACAAAGGCAACCCTTTAATTGCTAACAGCAATTTACTAAAATATCAAAAACAGGAAATTCAGTTGTGGATACACTATCCTTGGTACAGGTTCTTTGACCCAACACACACTACCCTGATACAAGCCTGTGTGAACAAGGCACAGCTCAGCATCGTCCAAGCTGGACCTATGTAGATATGTAGAATATAGCCATGCCTGGAAATCTTCTATAAAAGGTCATCTTAGTAAAGTCTAGGATCAGGCCCAGGTGATCATAGAATATTTTTTTAATAACCTGTTACTAGTGGTGCACCGAAATGAAAATACTGGTGCCGAAACCGATACTGAAAATACAGAATGCATGTGGCCGAAAACCGAACCGAAACGTCTGCGTATGTGGGGGTGGGGTGGCTCCAATTTTTTTTTCTACTTTCATGTATGTTTTAATTTATGATTTTATTGCTATCACACAGAGGACCAATAGTCCCCTATGTGATAGCATATGATTGACAGGTCCTCTTTGTAGGGGGGAGGGGGTGGGGGGCAATGTGTGCAAGGAGGGGGCAGGAGAGGAGCAGTGTATACAGTGAGGGAGCAGTGTATACAGAGAGGCTCCCTCAGTGGCTGTCACTATAGGTCAGTACCATTTTTTAAATGCAATTGCCAGCTTTTTTTTTTCCTTCACTATAGCTCACAGAATTAGCTGTCACTTTCCCCGGAAACGTTGTTTCTTTTATCTCGGGAAAGAAACTAAAAGGAAATTTTGTTTCTCTTGGGGAAAGAAACTAAAAGGAAATTTTGTTTCTCTTGGGGACAGAAACTAAAAGGAAATTTTGTTTCTTTTGGGGAAAGAAACTAAAAGGAAACTTTGTTTCTTTTGGGGAAAGAAACTAAAAGGAAACTTTGTTTCTTTTAGCTGGGGGGAAAGTGACAGCTAATTCTGTGAGCTATAGTGAAGAAAAAAAAAAAAAAAAAAAAAAGACGGTAATTACATTTAAAAACCGGCACTGATATATAGTGACAGACAATCACTGTATACACTGCTCCTCTCCTGATTTTCTCAGCCGTCCACCCCCCCCCTCACATCTGCAGCACACACAGTCTCCTGTATCAGCTAAATTTTTCCAATTGGCAAAATGCCGATAGGGCTATTTTCAGCAGAAATATTTCGGTGGCCGAAATTTCAGTGCATTCTATCGGTTACGTTTCCCCCCCTATAGGCACAGTGGCATGTTAACACTAAGAGCTACAGGATTAAAGAGAGAAAGTAAAATGTAAAGTTTGTAGTTGGTACTTACGCCCTCGCTTTTGGTGTAGATACAGGTGAGTGCCAAATATTCCCACAGCATTTCCAGCAAATAGTCCAGATTTAACTTCATCCCACAACTAAGGAAGAAACCAGAGGTGAAGATGGTTAGGAAACAATCTCAAATGTTGGGATTTCATGAATGCTGGCACAAGAGCTGCCACTCTAATTCTATTCCAGAAGGGCTCTATCTTTTTCCTCTTCCATTGTTACTGTGTTTGTATGGGTTTCCTTCAAGTGTTTCCTTGCAAAATCCATATGCAGAGGATAAAGGGTCAGAACAACCAAAACCGATATTTCAGATTTTTTTTTTGTGTGTGTTTTTAACAGTGAAGTTTATTGAGCAAAAATTCATTGCAATTCAAAACAGTAACAATAAAAAAAAAAAACATACTGACAGAAGAGGGAAGGACAGAGAGGACAATAAATTCCAGGACACAACCAGTCCAAGTTGACAAGAACAGCACAATTGAGCACAAATACAGGTCAGAGTAACCAATAGGATACACCGATGGTGCAACAAAGTATGTCACATTATCCTATACAGCAGCGGTTCTCAACCTGGGGGTCGCGACCCCTTTGGGGGTCGAACGACCATTTCCCAGGGGTCGCCTAAGACCATCGGAAAACACATATTTCCGATGGTCTTAGGAACCGAGACACCGCTGCTGTCTCCGGCGATGTGTGGGCGGGATGATATGCTGCCCCTGTCACCGCCTCCTCGCCGCTGATTGGCCACCGGAACTGTAGCTCAGGAGAGGTACACAGTCGGCCAATCACCGGCGAGAAGGTGGAGCTTGGAGAGGAGGAGCCGAGCGGCAGCGCGCGGAGATCGAAGAAGATCGAGGGAGCTGCAGGAACGAGTGAAGAGAGAGGCCAGAGAAGGAAGACAGCTGACAGGTAAGTGCAAATTTTGCTGCTGCAGCCAGGTATGCAGGCTGTAGATGGGAGAGGGAGAGAGCGAGCCCAGGCTGGAGCAGGGGTCAGCAAGGTAAGTATCATTGGTGTCAGTGGGAGGGATAGTGCCCTATCATTTGTGTCACTAATACCAACGATGGGGCACTATTCCTCCCCCCACTGACACCAACGATGGGGCACTATTCCTCCCCTCACTGACACCAACGATGGGGCACTATTCCTCCCCCCACTGACACCAACGATGGGGCACACTATTCCTCCCCCCACTGACACCAACGATGGGGCACTATTCCTCCCCCACTGACACCAACGATGGGGCACTATTCCTCCCCCCACTGACACCAACGATGGGGCACTATTCCTCCCCCCACTGACACCAACGATGGGGCACTATTCCTCCCCCCACTGACACCAACGATGGGGCACTATTCCTCCCCCCACTGACACCAACGATGGGGCACTATTCCTCCCCCCACTGACACCAACGATGGGGCACTATTCCTCCCCCCACTGACACCAACGATGGGGCACTATTCCTCCCCCCACTGACACCAACGATGGGGCACTATTCCTCCCCCCACTGACACACAACGATGGGGCACTATTCCTCCCCCCACTGACACCAACGATGGGGCACTATTCCTCCCCCCACTGACACCAACGATGGGGCACTATTCCTCCCCCCACTGACACCAACGATGGGGCACTATTCCTCCCCCCACTGACACCAACGATGGGGCACTATTCCTCCCCCCACTGACACCAACGATGGGGCACTATTCCTCCCCCCACTGACACCAACGATGGGGCACTATTCCTCCCCCCACTGACACCAACGATGGGGCACTATTCCTCCCCCCACTGACACCAACGATGGGGCACTATTCCTCCCCCCACTGACACCAACGATGGGGCACTATTCCTCCCCCCACTGACACCAACGATGGGGCACTATTCCTCCCACCACTGACACCAACGATGGGGCACTATTCCTCCCCCCACTGACACCAACGATGGGGCACTATTCCTCCCACTGACCCAATCACTATTCCTCCCCACTGACACCAATGATGGGGCACTATTCCTCCCACTCACTGACACCAATGATGGGGCACTATTCCTCCCACTCATACCAATGATGGGGCACTATTCCTCCCACTCATACCAATGATGGGGCACTATTCCTCCTCCCACTCATACCAATGATGGGGCACTATTCCTCCCACTCATACCAATGATGGGGCACTATTCCTCCCACTGACACCAATGATGGGGCACTATTCCTCCACTGACACCAATGATGGGGCACTATTCCTCCCACTGACACCAATGATGGGGCACTATTCCTCCCACTGACACCAATGATGGGGCACTATTCCTCCCACTGACACCAATGATGGGGCGCTATTCCTCCCACTGACACCAATGATGGGGCGCTATTCCTCCCACTGACACCAATGATGGGGCACTATTCCTCCCACTGACACCAATGATGGGGCACTATTCCTCCCACTGACACCAATGATGGGGCACTATTCCTCCCACTGACACCAATGATGGGGCACTATTCCTCCCACTGATACCAATGATGGGGCACTATTCCTCCCACTGATACCAATGATGGGGCACTATTCCTCCCACTGATACCAATGATGGGGCACTATTCCTCCCACTGATACCAATGATGGGGCACTATTCCTCCCACTCATACCAATGATGGGACACTATTCCTTCCACTGACACCAATGATGGGGCACTATTCCTCCCACTGATACTAATGATGGGGCACTATTCCTCCCACTGACACCAATGATGGGGCACTATTCCTCTTACTGATACCAATGATGGGGTACTATTCCTCCCACTGATACCAATGATGGGGCACTATTCCCCCACTGATACCAATGATGGGGCACTATTCCCCCCACTGATACCAATGATGGGGCACTATTCCCCCACTGATACCAATGATGGGGCACTATTCCCCCCACTGACACCAATGATGGGGCACTATTCCTCCCACTGACACCAATGGTGGGACACTATTCCTCCCACTGACACCAATGATGGGACACTATTCCTCCCACTGACACCAATGATGGGACACTATTCCTCCCACTGACACCAATGATGGGACACTATTCCTCCCACTGACACCAATGATGGGGCACTATTCCTCCCACTGACACCAATGATGGAGCACTATTCCTCCCACTGACACCAATGATGGAGCACTATTCCTCCCACTGACACCAATGATGGGCACTATTCCTCCCACTGACACCAATGATGGGAGCACTATTCCTCCCACTGACACCAATGATGGGGCACTATTCCTCCCACTGACACCAATGATGGGGCACTATTCCTCCCACTGACACCAATGATGGGACACTATTCCTCCCACTGACACCAATGATGGGGCACTATTCCTCCCACTGATACCAACGATGGGACACTATTCATCCCACTGACACCAACGATGGGACACTATTCCTCCCACTGACACCAATGATGGGACACTATTCCTCCCACTGACACCAATGATGGGGCACTATTCCTCCCACTGACACCAATGATGGGGCACTATTCCTCCCACTGATACCAACGATGGGACACTATTCATCCCACTGACATCAGTGATGGGGCGCTAGTCCTCCCACTGCAAAATTACAGTTATGAAGTAGCAACGAAAATAATTTTATGGTTGGGGGTCACCACAACATGAGGAACTGTATTAAGGGGTTGCGGCATTAGAAAGGTTGAGAACCACTGCTATACAGTATTATCATCAGGGGCGGGCTGACCATTTGGAAACTCTGGCGCTGCCCGAGGGCCCGGGGTCAGTAGGGCGCCCCATGAGATGCCCCTGGTACCTTTTTCATAGGCTTTTTTGAGTTTGGGCAAGGACACAGGGGCCCCATGATCCCCTATTGCCCGGGGGGCCCCATGATTTGTGATAGCACAGAAAGCTGAAAATTGGCCTGGACTGGATGGACATGAGTTGTCAGTCTGCCCCCGATTATCATCACACTAATTTGTAACATGAAATCCAGTCAACCACAAGGGTACACCCAAGAAGGTTATACATAATATTCTAGGAAGACCTAATGTGGAGGAAATAGGTTTAGTGGGGGGGGGGGGGGGGAAATGAAAGGGAAAAGAGAAATAAAGGGGGAAAAAAAGGGATGGGGGAGGAGAGGCATGTGGAGACCATCAGATCGCAAGGATCACATATGAAATTTTGTGGGGCAGTTGCGACCCAGGTAGGTGAGTTTGTACACCGGGAGGACATTACTGACCAAAGTGCGCCACCAAAATGTGGAATAGACTCCCTCAAGAGTTGGTTGTGGCCAGCTCAGTGGATCGCTTCAAAAAAGTCCTGGATTATTTCTTGGATACACAGAATATAACTGGATATAATATTTATAGGTAAAGTTGATCCAGGGAATATCCGATTGCCTCTCGGGGGATCAGGAAGGAATTTGTTTCCCAGCAGGAGCAAATTGGATCGTGCTTTGCTGGGCCTTTTTGCCTTCATCTGGATCAACTGTGGGTAAAGGATTCTAGCTTTTTTTTTTTTTTTAATGGTTGAACTGCATGGACTTTTGTCTTTTTTCAGCCAGACTAACTATGTAACTTGGAATAAGCATTTGCAATAAAGAGTCAGAGCTCCTGATCTGTATAAGTCCCCGGTCACACTGGATGCAGCTTGGCATGCGATTTGCATGCCATATGACTTGCAAATTGCATGGCAAGTCGAACCCTATTGTCTGCAATTACAGCGGTCATATCGAAGCGGTTCCGACTTGGTCGGAGCCGCACCAATTTCTAAGGTAGTACATGCACTACTTTTGGTGCGATTTGCATAGACATCTGTGTCAGGTGTCTTGCAGATCACACCTCAAATCGGCATCTCACCCGACTTTGAAATCGCGCGACTCCACTGTAAGCAAATTGGATCGTGCTTTGCTGGGTTTTTTTTTTTTTTTTTGCCTTCCTCTGGATCAACTGTGGGTGTAGGATTATAACTTTTTTTTTTTAATGGTTGAACTGAATGGACTTTTGTCTTTTTTCAGCCAGACTAACTATGTAACTATGATGTACTGAAGGGCGGTTTGGCATCTTCCATTTTATCAAGGTAGCTTTCGTGGCATAATAAAAGGTATAAAACCAAAACAACCTTCTGTGACGCATGGTGGCAATCGTGTCACCAATACCTAGCGGTAGGAAGAGCGGATCTTTAACCACCTCCCGTCCGGCCGTTGTATATAAACGGCCGGGCGGTGGCACTGCAAGGTCGGGTGGCCGTTTATAAACGGCCTCCCTGCACCCTGCTTGTGCGCACTACCTGGGAGCGCGCAGCACCGCGAACCGGTGCCCGCTGTGTTCTCCGGACACAGTGAAACACCGATCGCCGGACGGGACCTCTGTGGGAGGTCCCGATCATGTGATCACATGCAAAGTAGTAAGCAAGATGTCACTTGTGACATCATTGCTTACTACGTGTGAAATCTGTGAATGATCACAGAGGTCACATGGTACAGGGCTATTCACAACAGCCTTGTACCATGTGACAAGCTGTGACCAATCACAGCTCACTCAGTAGTTCTCAATGGCTGCAAGAATGCAGACAGAGAGAAAGAGAAATGATTGCTTTTACATCCTATATGGGTGTAAAAGCAATCAGTGTAAAAAAAAAAACAAAAAACTTCATCACCCCCCACAAGTAGTACAGTGTCACCATGGTGACACTGTAATGCTAGGGTGACCGTATGTAAAAAAATAAATAAAAAATAATAATATAAAAATGTAAAAAAAAATGTTTAAAAATGATAATTTTTGGTTATAAACGAATTTGGTTTATTTTTTTTTTTTTTACTAAAAAGATAACAGAATAAATTTTGGCCAAGATTTATGATGAAATATTTATTTGCAAAATTTTATAAAAACACTTTTTTTCAAAACTTTTGGACGTTTTCATTTACATAGCAAAAAAAAAAAAAAAATCCCAGCGGTGAATAAATACACACCAAAATAAAGTTTTATCTGTCTCAAAAAAATGGTAAAAAATTCATATGGGTACAGTGTTGCATGACCGCGCAATTGTCATTCAAAGTGTGATAGCGCTGAAAGCTGAAAATTGCCCTGGACAGGAAGGGGGTGAAAGTGTCCGGACTGGAAGTGGTTAACAATCATCAGTCCACTAATGACTCCCACTTCTGATGTCACCTCACCCCAGTAGACCTGTAGAAGAGGGCGAGATTTCAGATTGTAGTGGATGCTGGAGTGTTAAACTTCGTCACAGTTTCTTCTTTCGGGGGCTCGATCGGTGAATGCTCGGTGCCAAGTTCCTGATGTTGCACACCTGCTAGGCCCATTATGAAGGGTTCTCATTTTCCCGGTTGGGATTTTTTTACTTATTTTATATTATGTAATACAAGGAGCTGGGGCACAAAGTGGGGGTACAGGAACAAAACCAAGCCCCCTAGACAGGAATTGTAGAAGACAGATCTCACTGTTGGGATTATGTAAGATGTATGAGACGCTAGGGGCTGACTCAGCCTACTAGTCACCACCTACATCAGAAGTATCAGCTTTGGGTGGACTAAATCGGCCCTAAAGAGCGGGTGTCTGTACAACTGGTGGGGGCATTATTTGGTAAACAAAAGAGAGAAAGAACAGCTAGGTCCAGATTTATCAGAAACTAATTTCAGTCTGACAGGTAATATATATAGTTTTGGTGGCTACAGGTATCTGCACAAATGCTTTCAATTAAAAGCTGATATAAAATCGAACTACGATGATATCCCCCCCTCCCCCATCCCACTATACCCAACCTGAGCTAGAATTAAAGCAAATCTAACAGATTTGTTAGTGTGGATGGAGGAATCCCCCTGCCGGGACATAGTATTCTAAAAGTGGATGTCAATGTACACTGATTCGCGGTTGCTGCTGATTGACTGAAATGTTTAAAATATGTCCCTTCAGCAGATGTCAGTTAACCGCTTGCCTACCGGGTACTTTTACCCCCCTCCTGCCCAGGCCAATTTTCAGCTTTCAGAGCTTTCGCACTTTGAATGACAATTGTGCGGTCATGCAACCTTATACCCATATGAAATGTTTATCATATATTTCTCACAAATAGAGCTTTCTTTTGGTGGTATTTAATCATGGCCGGGTGTTTTATTTTTTGCACTATAAACAAAAAAAATAGCAAAAAATTTGAAAAAAAAGGTTTTCTTTGTTTCTGTTTTAAAATTTTGCAAACAGGTAATTTTTCTTCTTCACTGATGTGAGGCTGTACTTATGGGCAGCATTGATGGGCACTGATAGGCGGCACTGATGCTGCTACACTGATAGACAGCAATGATGGGCACTGATGGCAGCACAGATAGGCAGCGCTGATGGGCACTGATAGGCAGCACTGATAGGTGGCACTGATGAGCTGGCACTGATAGACAGCAATGATGGGCACTAATGAGGTGGCACAGATAGGCTGTGCTGATGGGCACTGATAGGCAGCACTGATAGGTGCAACTAATGAGCTGGCACTGATGCTGCTACACTGATAGACAGCAATGATGGGCACTGATAGGCAGCACTGATGAGGTGGCACAGATAGGCAGTGCTGATGGGCACTGATAGGCGGCACTGATATGCAGCAATGATGGGCACTGATAGGCGACACTGACTGGCGGCACTGCTGGGGGGAACTGGTGGGTGGCACTGGTGGGCACAGATAGGTGGCACTGGTGGGCGGCACTGCTGGGCACTGACCAGTGCCCTGATGATCAGTGTTGATCTGTTCAGCGTGAGGAAAGTGCAGCCGATAAGCAGCAACTGTGTATTTACCCGGTGATCTGCTGTGCCATTGGACACAGCTGATCATGTGGTACAAGGCTGTTGTGATTGGCCTTTTACCACATCACGTGATCAGCTGTGTGCATAGGACCCAGCGATCACGGAGATCACCGGGTACGCACCGCTGGGGGCACGCGTTTTGGGAAGGACGTCCTATGACACCTTCAAAAATGGACAACTGCGCTGTAGCCGTCATTCAGCTATAGCGCGGCTGCTGCCAAGTGGTTATTTCAGTTTTCTAAAGACAGAAAAAAAAACTAAGTCAGCTGACAAAAAAAAAAAAAAAAAAAAGTTAATTTAGGTTTTTAATAAACAAGATTGATCGTATGTCAACAGCCCTGAGCTCACCTGATTACCACGCCGTGAGGTTGCCTGGCCAATCTGTCCACTTCCTCCATGGAGATCTGATCTATTTTGTTATATACCTGTAGAGACAAATCAAACAAGGGCTACTAAAAGGACCACCAACCTTAAAGAGTATGCAGATCCTTACGAGACAATTCTCTTACAGCACGATTATCTTTCTGTGTTTGCCAATTAACCTCCTTCAGGGCAAAGCATGGTCTAGCCCGGGTGTCGGGCAACCCGCGGCTCTTTTTCATCTTTGCTGCGGCTCCGGAGCACACTGCCCACCAGGTGGTCGGCAAGCCGCAGATCGCGAGCCACATGCGGCTCTTCTGTGTGCCGGGCGCCCGCTCCCCTCCCTCCTCAAAAATCCGGCCCGCGGAGCGTGGAACATTGGCAGCCAGGATGTAGGCGGGGCAGAGTGACGAACTCCTCTCTCGGTCCGCCCTGAAGACCAGAACGGCGCGGGAACACAGCGAGAGGAACGCGCGGAGCAAAGGTAAGTGAATTGAGACAATATGGGGGATGAATTACTGTGTGGGGGATGAATTACTATGTGGGGGATGAATTACTATGGGGGATGAATTACTATGGGGGATGAATTACTATGTGGGGGATGAATTACTATGGGGGAAGAATTACTATATGGGGGATGAATTACTATGGGGGAAGAATTACTATATGGGGGGGATGAATTACTATATGGGGGATGAATTACTATATGGGGGATGAATTACTATGGGGGATGAATTACTATATGGGGGATGAATTACTATGGGGGATGAATTTACTATATGGGGGATGAATTACTATATGGGGGATGAATTACTATGTGGGGGATGAATTACTATGGGGGATGAATTACTATATGGGGGGGATGAATTACTATATGGGGGATGAATTACTATATGGGGGATGAATTACTATGGGGGATGAATTACTATATGGGGGATGAATTACTATGGGGGAAGAATTACTATATGGGGGATGAATTACTATATGGGGGATGAATTACTATGGGGGATGAATTACTATGTGGGGGATGAATTACTATGTGGGGGATGAATTACTATGTGGGGGATGAATTACTATATGGGGGATGAATTACTATATGGGGGATGAATTACTATATGGGGGATGAATTACTATGGGGGATGAATTACTATATGGGGGATGAATTACTATGGGGGATGAATTACTATATGGGGGATGTATTTTCAGTTTTTAAAATGTGGCTGTCAAAAAAAATTCAATCGTGGTTTTGGCGAGATTTGGCTCAGTTGAAAAAAAAGGGTGCCCACCACTGACCTAAGGCTATGATTGTGATTATGAAGATACACTGTGGCCCTGATTAACCCTTTGCTTACTGGGCCCTTAAACCCCCTTCATGACCAGAGTGCTTTTTGCAATATATGCAGTGTCGGATTTGTTATAAATGTTGCAATGGTTTTGCGGCTCCCAGTCTTTTTTTTCCCTTCGGAAACGGGTCCAAGTGGCTCTTTATGTCTTAAAGGTTGCAGACCCCTGGTCTAGCCAAATGACAGTCTTTTACTGTCTTTAGAATCATTGACAAGTTTTATATTTCTTTGAGTACGTTTCTTATTAGAAGCAATTTCTTGTATAAGACCCTTGTAGAATCACAACAGTTTATGTTCTGCAACCTGCCGACATTAGAAATCTATAACCCTGTACTGCTATGCCATGCCAAACTATACCTGTTTTTCCTGTAACGTGACTCATTATTATTGTATAAATAAAAGAATTACGAAAAAAAAATCTTGTTTGGTCTGTTAGTCCTCATGCACACAGGACGTTTTTACAGCGGCTGTTTTTGGCTTTTGACGTTTTTTTTTCTACAGCCAGTAACTTCCCCAGCATGTTATCCTATGTGTCCATACACACAGAGACTGGAATCAAAGTTTTTTTTGGCTGGAAAAAAACCCCCAGAACTAGTGGGATTCTAGAGGAGTTGTTTAGCTGTAAAAATGTTCTAAAACTCTTAGTAGTAAGCAACTGAGCAACTTATTCCCTCCCTGGTTATCTCTCGCCTTGACTATTGTAACTCCCTCCTCATTGGCCGACCTCTTCAGTCTATCATGAATGCTGCTGCCAGATTCATCTACCTTACTAACTGTTCCATATCTGCCACCCCTCTCTGCCAATCCCTCCACTGGCTTCCCATTCAGTGTCCTCCATCCCTCTCTGCCAATCCTTCCACTGGCCTCCACTCAGTGTCCTCCATCCCTCTCTGCCAATCCCTCCACTGGCCCCCATTCAGTGTCCTCCATGCTTCTCTGCCAATCCCTCCACTGGACCCCATTTAGTGTCCTCCATCCCTCTCTGCCAATCTCTCCACTGGCCCGCATTCAGTGTCCTCCACCCCTCTCTGCCAATCCCTCCACTGGCCCCCATTCAGTGTCCTCCATCTCTCTCCGCCTTTTCCTCAACTGGCCTCAACTGGCCCCCCTCCACTGATTCAGTGTCCTCCATCCTTCTCTGCCAATCCCTCCACTGGCCCCCATTCAGTGTACTCCATCCCTCTCTGCCAATCCCTCCACTGGCTTCCCATTGCCCAAAGGATAAAATTAAAAACATTAACAATAACATATAAAGCCATTTATAACTCTGCCCCAAATTACATCACCAAACTTGTCTCCAAATATCACCCAAACCGTCCTCTCCGCTCCTCGCTCGACCTCCTGCTCTCTAGTCTCCTCCTCCCATGCTCATTTCCAGGAATTTTCCAGAGCTTTCCCCATCCTCTGGAACTCTCTACCCCAATTTATCAGACTATCGCCTACTCTGCTCACCTTTAGGCGATCTCTGAAAACCTATCTTTTCAGGGAAGCTTATCCTGCCCTCAGCTAATAATGGAATCTTCTATTCCTTCTACCAGTCCATCCCCCACAGTTACTACCTTTTGTACCACTAGCCCCTTCCTCTTAGATTGTAAGCTCCCAGGATCAGGGCCCTCCTAACCATCTTGTATTGAACTGTATTGTTGCTGTATTGTCTCCCGTTATATTGTAAAGCGCTGAGCAAACTGTTGGTGCTATATTTTTTGACAGGTGAGTGGAACTCCGCTTTAAGTATTATTTCCAATGTGTGTGAAACTCCAAACCAATCCTCATTTTTATCCTGGTAAACAGATAGACATTTCTGTGTAATGAGAATGGATGTCCACCTTTCTAAAGCTGCCAGGTCCTGCTAAGCTTCCTGTTTTCCAGGAAGGGTAATACAGTCCAGTTGACATTCCCTGCTGTATTCTGTGTAAGACCCATCAAGGTATCAATCTCACGAAGAGAGGTCTGACCCCTCAGCCATGTCACTCAGTGACAGCTGAAACCCCTGATCAATGAAACCTTCCAGGACAAATTACATGTAAAACATTTATGGTGACCATTAAAAATATATAAGGAGTGCCATAAACTTTATATTGAGCTTGCACGTCGTCCGGGGTGCTTGCCATACACTAGTCTGACCTTCACACTGAAACAAGAACCATACCTTTAGTGACAATCCATGCTCAGCGGCATAACACAGCCTGGCTTAACTACTGTAGAAAGGAGAATCCAAAGTTTGGAAACTTTCTACGTAGTTACGTTTTCATATGTATACATGGTCCAGCCTGGACCATGTATACATATACCCAGGGCCGTAGATAAGGGGGTACCACCAGTCCACCAGTATGGGGCCCAGGACAGCAGGGGGGCCCAGGCAGCTGGGTGAATCAGATGTGGGCAGGGAGGGTGATCAGCACAGAAAAGGTGGGGGCAATTACTGGAACTGATCCCCTGTATGGCTCTCTTTGCAGCAGCTTAAAGCTGGCTTCTTCTCTTCCTCCAGCTGGCTTTCAGCTGCTGCAGAGAGCCATACAGGGGATCGGTTCCAGTAATCGCCCCCCCTTCTGCACCCATCACCCTCCATGTGTACCATACATCCAAGGGTGTATTTACCACAAGGCAAACAAGGCACATGCCTAGGGTGGCATTTTTCAGGGGGACAACACCTCCCCCAGAAGAAGGGATGAAATAAGGGACACCCGCCCCATGGGAACCAGGTGGGATCCGAGAGAGTCTGCGGGCTGCTTGATGCCCTACTCTCGTTCCTGGGGATGTCTGGAGCTGTGAAGATGAGTGTCTCTCTCTAATGCCGGGGGGGAGGGGTTGGGATAGTGAAAGGCTCTCCCAGATGGGGAGTAGGGGTGTTGTTGGTCAATGTCAGGCTCCCCCTGCGGGAGGGGGGGGTGGGGGGGGGGGGGGGGGTGTTGGTTGGTGTCCGTGGGGGCAAACGATTTTTGTGTTGCCTAGGGCAGCACAAAGTCTAAATACACTACTGCATACATCTCCCACCCCCGCAGTGCTGCCGGCTTCCCTCCTCTCCTTCTCCCCGGCAGCTGCAGGCACACAATAGGATCCTTCAGGTTGGAGAGTAGGAAAGGGTCAGGTAAATAGGTCACGTTTACCAGCCTGTTCCTTTCCTGAATGAACGCAATGAGTGATCTGCAGCAATCACTTACTGTGTTCGTTCATAACTGAAGCATAGTAAACTGTGTTTTTTTTTTTTTTTTTTAGGGGCCCTGCCAAGTTGGCTGTATGGAGCCCCATGGTTTCTAACAGCAGCCCTGCATATACCAAACCAGGCTACTCCCTCTGGAAGCTGGAATTCACTGTATAGACACTGCTATTCTAGTGATCTCCACTTGCTTTTGGGTCCCAAGGGGATTAGCTGCCCTGCTCCATTCTGAACACAGGAGGTTGGCTTCTTGGCAGGGGTTCCCATCCAGAGAATGATTTCAGGATCTCAATGAATGCAAAGCATTCACTGATTGGACAAGTTGGTGAGGTTGGGGTGGAATATACTATATTCCAATGTTTTATATTTTGTCTATTGTAGTGTTTTTTTTTTTTATTCAGCTGCACCTCATCCAATCAGAGAACACTTTGCATTCATTAAAAAAAAAAAATGCTCTGAATGAATCCATGCCAAGTGGCCGACCTCCTGTGTTCAGAATGCAGCAGGACTACTACTCGGCGTAGGACATGGAAGCTAGCGGAGATCACTGGAGTAGCAGTGATCCAGTTTACATTCTCATCTCTCCTGTTGCTTGTGCCACCGAATATATAAAAGGGGTGTAAGTTTTGGCACTCTTATTTACATCTGTGGGATCAGGTGAGTACTTACACAGAGCCTGCTACATGTTCCCAGTACTAGCAACGTTCAGAAGCTTCACTTTTATGCCCTGAGCTCAATAACCTACTAGGGATGCACCGAAATTTCAGTGGGCGAAGCGCTTTGGCCGAAAACACCCCTTTCAGCCGTCAGCCGGAATGGGGAGAAAAAAAAAAAAAGCAATGATATAGGTGCCAAAAAACCCCCGCCCCTTGCCACCACCGCTCGGTAATTGTCAGCCTTTCCTGAGAAACCATCGAATGATCCCGGCGCTGTGCATAGAGATGAGTGAAGGAAAGATGGCCTCCACTCATCTCTATGGCCTTGGAGGACCGGAGCGATGTCACTTCCGGTTCCGACCATTTTTCTTTTTTTTTTTTTTAAGCACTAGATCAATGCTTTTTTTTTTTTTTTTTTTTTGATCCAATGCTTTAAATTGCAGAGGAGAGATGTGGGGTCATAAAGAGGACCTGTCACTAATTATGGGATGCATGCATTTCTTCTGATAAGAATAAAAGTGATTACAATTTTTTTTTTTAAAAGGGACAGTGCAAAAAAAAGAGAAAACATTGAATACATTTTTTTTTAAAAGTTTAAAGTGCCCCTGTCCTCACACGTAGCGGTGAACGCATACATAGGCCACGCCCACATATGTAAACGGTGTTCAAACCACACACGTGAGGTATCACCACAAACGTCAGAGCAAGAGCAATAATTCTTGCACTAGAACTCCTCTGTAATTTTACACTGATAACCTGTAAAACATTTTAAAAGCATCACCCATAGAGATTTTTAAGTACCGCAGTTTCACGCCATTCCATGAGCATGCGCAATTTTAAAGCGTGACATGTTGGGTATCTATTTACTCACCATAACATCCTCTTTCATATTCTACAAAAAAAACATTGGGGTATATATTTTTTTTTCTTTGTTTTTTTTAATCAAAGTGTATTTTTTCCAAAAACTATATATTCATTTTTAAAAACTGTGCATTTCGGTTTCAGTTTCCGGCCAAGTGAATTTTGAATTTTCGTTTTCGCCACCAGAATTTTCATTTCGGTGCACCACTACTAAACCAAAGCATGCGCCAAGGCTTGCTAAAATCTCTTTTATTCTAATACTTGGTCTGGGGTTTCTTTTTTGCATCAGAAGAAAGAATATCACAATAGGAATGTACACATCAGTCTAAAGTTGAAATGGGAAGCTAGGACTTACATAAAGGCAGGGCATGTATACTCTGTTCCCAACAATGACATCGATGAAGTCATCCGGACTGCAGTCTTCTCTGAACAGGACCTCTGCATTAAACATTTCTGGAAAGGCAAGTTAAAGACTGTTCCACAGACAGGGCCTCAGTAGGGGCAGACGTGACCATAAATGACCGCCTGGCAATTTTTTTGGGGGGAAAAAAGGACTCATGTGAAAACATGACACAAAAGAAGTGCTGTTTCCTATTGTGATCAGATATCTTGTTTTGTTTTCCTAGTAAATTAACCACTTGCCCTCCTGAGGATTTACCCCCCCCCCCCCCCCCCCCCCCCCCTTCCTGACCAGGCCATTTTTTTTTGCATTAGTTTAACCTCTTGCCGACCGCGCATAGCCGAATGACGGCTTCACCGCGGCCGGCCAGTTCTGGGTGGACGTCATATGACGTCCTCCCAGAACGCGCTCTCCTGCGTGCACCCGGCGATCTCCGTGATCGCTGTGTCCTACGGACACAGCTGATCACGTGATGTGGTAAAAGGCCAATCACAGCAAGCCTTTTACCACGTGATCAGCGGTGTCCAATGACACGCTGATCACAGGGAAATGCAAGTGCCGGTTCTCGGCTGCACTTTCCTCACGCTGTCAGATCGTGAGGAAAGTACTGCCGAGAACCGGCAGTTGTCAGAGTGGGGATCGGCACCGATCATCAGGGCACTGATGATCAGTGCCCTGATGATCAATGCCCAGCAGTGACACCCGCAAGTTCCGCCCAGCAGTGCGCCCACTAGCTCCGCCCACCCGTGCCCAGCAGTGCCCCCACCTGTGCCCAGCAGTGCCCCCACCTGTGCCACTCTGCAGTGCCACCTACCTGTGCCCAGAAGTGCCACCTACATGTGCCCAGCAGTGCCACCCACCTGTGCCCACCCACCTGTGCCCACCAGTGCCACCCACCTGTGCCCACCAGTGCCACCCACCAGTGCCACCCACCAGTGCTGCCAGTCAGTGCCACCAGTCAGTGCCCAGGGGTTGTGCCAGTCAGTGCCACCAGTCAGTGCCCAGCAGTGATGCCAGTCAGTGCCGTCTATCAGTACCCATAATCAGTGTCACCTATCAGTGCCGCCTATCAATGCTGCATATCAGTGCCGCCTATCCGTGACCCCTAATTAGTGCTGTCTATCAGTGCCGCCTATCCGTGCCACCTCATTAGTACTGCCTATCAGTGCCCATCAGTGCTGCCTCATCAACGCACATCAGTGAAGGAGAAAACATACCTGTTTGAAAAATTTTATAATAGAAACAAAGAAACTTTTTTTTTTTCAAATTTTTTGCACATTTTTTATTTATAGCGCAAAAAGTAAAGCGCCCAGTGGCGATTAAATACCACCAAAAGAAAGCTCTATTTGTGAGAAAAAAATGATCAAAGTTTCATATGGGTACAATGTTGCATGACCGCGCAATTGTCAATCAAAGTGCGGCAGCGCTGAAAGCTGAAAATTGGCCTGGTAAGGAAGGGGGTATAAGTGCCTGGTAGGCAAGTGGTTAACTAACAATTGCGCGGTCATGCAATGCTGCACACAAATGAAATTTACGTCCTTTTTTTTACCACAAATTGAGCCTTCTTTTGGTGGTATTTGATCGCCTGTGAGTTTTTTATTTTTCGCGCTATAAAAACAAAAAAAAAACAATTTTGAGAAAAAAAAAAAAAACAATATTTTTAACTTTTTGCTAATAAACATGTCCAGTAAAAAAAATGTAAAAAAAAAAAATCAAATTTCGTTATAAATTTACGCCAAAATGTATTCTGCTTTTTTTTTGCTAAAAAAAAAAAATCCCAATACGTGTAAATTAATTCGTTTACATGAAAGTTATAGCGTTTATAAATGGTGGTATAGATACTGGGAATTTTTTCTCTCTAACTTTTACCAATAACGGCGGCGATCAGCAACTTATAGCAGGACTGCGGTGGACATTCTGATACTGGGGGGAACTGACTTGGTGTCACTGACATCCCCAGTGACACCAATACAGTGCTAAAAAAAACAAAAACAAAGCACTGACACTGTACTAATGGCACTGGGCAGGAAGGGGTTAACATGAGGGCGATCAAAGGGTTAACTGTGTGCAAGGAGTGTTTTACTAGGGGGCGGTGTGTCTGTGTGCTTCACTGTATGCACACTGGTTTGGATGACTGTGCTGTGCAGTGTGCCTGAGCTGACAGGGAGGAGAACTGTTAGTAAACAAAACAGTTCTCCTTCCTGTCGGAGATCCTTGGAAATCACCGGGCGCTGGTGAGTAATCACCGGCCAGGACCTGGTGATTGACAGCTGCAGCCGTGAATGACGGCGCGGGTAGGGTGCGGCTCTCCAGCTGTTGCAGGACTACAAGTTCCATCATGCCTCTGCAAGTCATTTATTTATTACAGGTACTTATATGGCGCCGTCAATTTACGCAGCGCTCTTACATATATATTGTACATTCACATCAGTCCCTAACCCTCAAGGGGGGTACAATAAAAAGTCCCTAACTCACATAGCTGTAACTGTCAGTTTTGTAATGTTGCAATGCCTCATGGGAAACGTAGTTCCACAACAGCTAGAGAGCCGCAGGTTGCCTACCCCTGGCCTAGAGAAACCTTTTTAATGGTTGGTGAATTTTAACCGATGAGTCTACGTTGGAATGCTTGGCCTAAGGAACTGGCACCTATACCATACAATTCTGCTAATGAACGCTTCACAACTCTCAATACTGAAAGGCATGACAGCAGAAACAATATTTTGCATCAAAAACTTGCACAAGATTTGCCTAAAAGAATTACTTTGCGTCATTTTATTATCCTTAAGTCTCTTTATGAGTTTTGCAAAAAAAAAAAAAAAAGGATACTATATTCATGAAGAATGAGTTGCACCAGTTTTTCGGAGCACTGGGTGAGAGGTACAGTAGAGTTGAATGAGATTCCTCCTCCTTTCTTGGGCTGCAAGGAAAAAAAACAGACGTAGATCAAATTACTTATTACATACGAAGATTGAATTACTCGTTGCATAACCTCCTCTTTGGCCAAGCAGATTTCATTGGCAAGAAAAAAAACATTTCATCCAGATCATCATCCAATTCATTTTTTTAATGTACAATTCTGAATCAATGTTAGGCAAATACTGTAAATATAAAAATATAATAATTTTTCATTATGCCTCTTGGGACTGCGTTCATTCTGATCCGTTTTTCTTTTAAGGCTTTTGCGTTAAAAATGTGTGACTGTGTCATCCTATGGAACTCTTCCACATACCCACATGGAAGAAAAATATATTTAAATAATATTCTTCACAAATATATTGCCATATATTTGAAATGCTACAATTTTGGCCATATTCAATATATTTCAATAAACATTTATATATATATAGCAAGTTGAAATGTGTTTTTATGACAAAATATATGAAAAATATTTTTTAAAATACATTTCAAATATACATGTCTTTAACCTCCCTGGCGGTATGATTATTTCAGATTTTTGGTACTGAAAGCGGTACCATTATTTTGCATGGAAATTTGGCGTTTTTTATTGTAGGCTGTAATTCTTAGGAATAACTCACTGAAATCTGTCCGAACAAGAGTCTAGTAAACATCCCAGGTATGTTAAAATTTGAAACACGAAATCATAAATTATAATTTAATAAATAATCATAAAAAATAATATATAATTTAATAAATAATCATAAAAAATATAATAATACATTTAATTCAATAATATAATCAAACAAAAAACATGAAATTTGAAATATAGCGCCAAGTTCGCACATCACTGATCTTAGTCTTAAAATCGTTTTCAGTGTCTGATGACGAATTTCCCCCACGAATTATTATCACTCAATTCTGCAAGTGGTTCTGATTTACTATCGCTGTTCTCTAGCTGGTCTAAAACCGCTTTTGACTTAAAGGGACGCTTTTTGGACGCCATGGACGTTTCTCAGTTTCCAGGCAGAAAGAACAGACAAAATGCAGGCAGGGTGCAGGACAAAGCACTCGGGACAAAATGTATGTGAAATGGTTTGATACAGGAATGTTATACTATGTGATTTTAGTGAATGTCACTTTTTGTCATTTTCAAATTTCCCGCCGTTCCGTCCCCCGTACGTCCCGATGCTCGCAGGGGACGGAAACCAGATGACAGATGCCGGCATCTGCCAGATTACATTGCCGGGGACACTGCAGGAGGGACATCGCGGGAGCGCAGGACAAGGTAAGTGGTCGAGGGATCCCGGAGCAGCGCTGCATGGTAAGCCCGAGTGTTGCTCGGGGGGTTACCGCTTGTGGTACAGAACCTTTACCCCGAGCTACACTGCCAGGGAGGTTAAAAACACAAAATGTAAATTTTTTGGAATGCATTTACAAAAATATGTAAAAATATATGTTAAAATTACTTTTTTTATATGTTAAAAAAAAATCTGATGAATATATTTAAAGAATATATATTTTTAAAAATACATTTCAAATATACATTTCAAATATACATGTCTTTAAAAACACAAATGTAAATTTTTTGGAATGCATTTACAATAAAAAAAATATATGTTAAAATGACTTTTTTATATGTTAAAAAAAAACTGATGAATATATTTAAAGATTATATATTTTTAAAAATATATTATTTTAAATATATTCTTCATCCGGCGCCAGAGAGGTTAAAGGAGAAGTAGGGCCAAAGCTCTTTTGTCCTTACTTCTCCTGCGGGTAAGAGGAGTGCACTTCGTTCTGCACCACTGTGACCCATTTTAAGCCCACTGTCGACTAAAGTCACAGAACCGGGCCAGGCTCTGGAAAGATTCTGATTATAATGTTGGGATCCATCCAGATGCCTGGACAGGCAGTTGGCTCAGCCTCGCAGCGTGCCACTGAGAGCCTCAGCCAGCCACTCCAGTTCCCTCCACAGCCCACTGCTCCAGTGAGCGCTGGAAGGACAGAGCAGAGAGCCGGTGACTGACGGTCACTGCTCTGTGCTCACTGAAGACCGAGAACTGAGCGATCAGTGGTCTTTGTTCACTCGGTTCTCGGTCTTAGAAGCGGCAGGGAACAGATGCAGCATTACATCGATGATGCATCTACCTAGGTGATAATAGATTTTTTATTCCCAAACTTCTTTTTTACAAACTGATCACCCACCTTGAAATAAATATTGGGCTTATTCTTGTTCAGTCGGATGCCTACCGACTCCAACTCTTTCTCCAGCAGAGATCTGACACAGAAAAAACATGACATTCAAAAAATGGTTGCAGTTTACTAGGACATAAAAAGTACGACTCTAGCCAAAGCTTTTCTGTTTATGGATAGAATGAGCAGTGTTAGACTGTCTGTCAGGTTTTTATTGCTATGTGTACTGGAGAGATTTTCCTTCTCTTTTACAGCTGAACTCCAGTCTTCCCTTCAGTCTTGCACAGTTGTACCGGCTCCTCTCCAGAACTGACATTATTTACTCTGATTTCACTGCACACTGTGAGCTTCTCACAATGTGCATTAGAAGCTGCAGTAAGTCAGACAGAGCTCCGCCTCATTTCCTGGATGGAGGACGTCCAACATCATCTAACCTTTTCCTCCCCAGCCTGACTGTCTCTGGCTAGTTCTTTCAAACACAGGCTCAGCGTGACTTGTGGGCATTACCTAGGGAACTCGGCATGCAAATACAGCGTGTCTAAGAATGGCCACTCCACCCATCAAAGCATTTTCATATTAGAATACTTCTTCCCAAGTCAGTCCACTGAGGGCTCTGGAGAGCAGTACTGAGGCAGGGTGCTGTGATGTTTTCCGGAAACTACTATGTACAGCACCCTACTGTCCCCTTTCACCAGCCATGATCTGCCAGCATTGCTTGGAGAAGCAAAGATACCCAGCAATGGCATTACAGGATCTGAAATTGGATGTCCAGTGAAGGAAATAAGTATTTGATCCCCTGCTGATTTTGAATGTTTGCCCAGGTTTGAAGGAAATAAGCAATCTGTGATTGCCAACACGGGATTTGCCACCAAGTACTAAGTCATGTTTTTTGAAGGGGATCAAATACTTATTTCCCTCATGAACATGCAAATCAGTCATCATTTGTTACACATGCATTTCTTTTGAATTTTTTGTTGCTATTCTGTCTTTACAGTACACCTACCATTCGATTTTTAGACTGATCATTTCTTTGTAAGTGGGCAAACATTCAAAATCAGCAGGGGATCAAATACTTATTTCCTTCACTGTAGAAGAAAATCTTGCTAAACAATGTACACAAGCTGTCATTGGTCCAGTCCAGGGAAGAAAAACATTTGATTGGCTGCTATAAAGAACAACTGTCCTCCCGTTCTGAATCAAAGGCAATGGATTTCAGCACAAAAAATATATGCAATAGGTGGGATCATTAACCTACTGACCTTTGGACCTCACCCTTTGTGGCATCCAACATCATAATGACAACGTCCGATGTTCGAGCCACGGCGATTACCTGCCGTCCTCTGCCCTTCCCTGAAACAGAAATCGTGAACGTCACGTCTATCACATACGGGAGGGTCTTCCTGTCAGCACTAAACATGACACCCAAATGACATGACAATCAAAGCAGTAAACAATCGCCCAGTAATAAGCCATGTGATGGTCAACAAACTGGATGCAAATGGAGAAACAGAAAAAGGGCGCACTGACCTAGTGCATTATCGTTTAAAATATTTATTGAAGAAACAAAGTAAGTATCATACTCACAATAGACATCAAAACACAGGCATGTCAAACTGAACAAGATGTATGATCCAAACAACATCTGAGTCCATACGATGGAACCCTGAATGACGAACTGGCTGACGCGTTTCGAGGACACACAACCTCTTCCTCAGAGCCAACTCCTCCTCAAAACGCGGTCATCCAGGGTTCCGTCGTATGGACTCAGATGTTGTTTGGATCATACATCTTGTTCAGTTTGACATGCCTGTGTTATTATGTCTATTATGAGTATGATACTTACTTTGTTTCTTCAATAAATATTTTAAACGATAATGCACTAGGTCGGTGCGCCCTTTTTCTGTTTCTCCATTTGCATCCAGTGTATTTGGACCACCCCGGTCTGTTGAGGGCAGCAAGCAGTGCATATTCCAGAATATTCCAGTAGAACATTCCTATTGGGTCCACTGAGTCTTTTCCTAGCGCAGGAGAAAAGTGTTTGTTGTGTTGGATGGTCAACAAACTGCTCATGAGCAGCACTCACCCTGGGCTGCCCCTTCAATGATTCCAGGAAGATCCAGTAGCTGGATGTTTGCTCCTTTGTACTGAAAGCCAAAAGAAAGAAAGGAAGGAATGAAAAAAGAAGGATATGAAAAATGTTGCTAATCTTCCTGACTGTGATATGCTCTTTGTGGCCCCTTACACACAACGCCGCTTGCTGTGAAAATGTTATAGGAAGAAGGGTGAGCCGCACACCGGAGGAGAGATGAATATTGTGTGTATTTATTGATCCAGGACATGAATACAGGACCTGTGAGAATGTTCATTGCCATTGCAGCAGAGAATTAGGAATGTGCACCTGTGCATGTTCCTAGTTCCCAGACCTTGCTTTCTAACTGACAAAATGATAAAGTTTAGTTACCTGACTAATATTGATGCGGTTTCATTTGTTTTGAGCATCTAAGCATCATTGACCTGCACATTTTCAAACGATGCAAACGATTGTGTGTACTGTGGGAGACCGGATATAGTGAATGCAGGGTCCGGGGACCGGATATAGTGAATGCAGGGTCCGGGGAGACCGGATATAGTGAATGCAGGGTCCGGGGAGACCGGATATAGTGAATGCAGGGTCCGGGGAGACCAGATATAGTGAGTGCGGGGTCCGGGGAGACCAGATATAGTGAGTGCGGGGTCCGGGGAGAGCGGATATAGTCAATGCAGGGTCCGGGGAGAGCGGATATAGTCAATGCAGGGTCCGGGGAGAGCGGATATAGTCAATGCAGGGTCCGGGGAGAGCGGATATAGTCAATGCAGGGTCCGGGGAGAGCGGATATAGTCAATGCAGGGTCCGGGGAGAGCGGATATAGTCAATGCAGGGTCCGGGGAGAGCGGATATAGTCAATGCAGGGTCCGGGGAGAGCGGATATAGTCAATGCAGGGTCCGGGGAGAGCGGATATAGTCAATGCAGGGTCCGGGGAGAGCGGATATAGTCAATGCAGGGTCCGGGGAGAGCGGATATAGTCAATGCAGGGTCCGGGGAGAGCGGATATAGTCAATGCAGGGTCCGGGGAGAGCGGATATAGTCAATGCAGGGTCCGGGGAGAGCGGATATAGTCAATGCAGGGTCCGGGGAGAGCGGATATAGTCAATGCAGGGTCCGGGGAGAGCGGATATAGTCAATGCAGGGTCCGGGGAGAGCGGATATAGTGAATGCAGGGTCCGGGGAGAGCGGATATAGTGAATGCAGGGTCCGGGGAGAGCGGATATAGTGAATGCAGGGTCCGGGGAGAGCGGATATAGTGAATGCAGGGTCCGGGGAGAGCGGATATAGTGAATGCAGGGTCCGGGGAGAGCGGATATAGTGAATGCAGGGTCCGGGGAGAGCGGATATAGTGAATGCAGGGTCCGGGGAGAGCGGATATAGTGAATGCAGGGTCCGGGGAGAGCGGATATAGTCAATGCAGGGTCCGGGGAGAGCGGATATAGTCAATGCAGGGTCCGGGGAGAGCGGATATAGTCAATGCAGGGTCCGGGGAGAGCGGATATAGTCAATGCAGGGTCCGGGGAGAGCGGATATAGTCAATGCAGGGTCCGGGGAGAGCGGATATAGTGAATGCAGGGTCCGGGGAGAGCGGATATAGTGAATGCAGGGTCCGGGGAGACCGGATATAGTGAATGCAGGGTCCGGGGAGACCGGATATAGTGAATGCAGGGTCCGGGGAGACCGGATATAGTGAATGCAGGGTCCGGGGAGAGCGGATATAGTGAATGCCGGGTCCGGGGAGAGCGGATATAGTGAATGCCGGGTCCGGGGAGAGCGGATATAGTGAATGCAGGGTCCGGGGAGATCGGATATAGTGAATGCAGGGTCCGGGAGATCGGATATAGTGAATGCAGGGTCCGGGGAGATCAAATATAGTGAATGCAGGGTCCTGGGTTTATTAACACTTTAAGGACTGGCACCTTTAGGGAGTGGGGGGGTGCGGGGGTTACCCGAATTTGGCAGGTACCCACTTCCGCTGCAAACACCTAGGTGATCAGAAGCGGAAGTTTCAGAACTGTCGCAAGCTGTGGCAACACTGAAGATGCAGGCGCTGGGGACACAGGACGGCTGGTGAACCTGATGAATCGAGAGACAGGTAAGTGTCTGTCTTTAAAAGTTTTTGTAGCTGCTGACTTTTTTTTTTTACTGGGCCTCTGCTTTAAGAGGGAAAGGTTGAGGGGGTGGTAAAAACATGTCTCAACCACCTGGCTTTGTTTTTTTTTTTACTGCCCCCTAGCCACAACTGTAAACTTAGCCTTAAAAATTCTGTTAAAGGCACTCTCACCTCTATCACTCCTGGAATGCAGGTCAGGGTGGTGAACTCATAAGAAGCAGCCTCGCTGGCTGTGGATGTCATCAAGCTTAAGAAGGTGGACTGAAATAAAAAAAAAACAAATGACAATATATAATACATGTCTCATATATTATTATTATTATACAGGATATATATTATTATTATACAGGATTTAAATATTATTATTATTATACAGGATTTATATATTATTATTATATGGGATTTAAATATTATTATTATTATTATACGGGATTTATTTATTATTATTATACGGGATTTATATATTATTATTATTATTTTATATATTATTATACAGGATTTATATATTATTATGCAGGATTTAAATATTATTATTATACAGGATTTATATCTTATTATTATACAGGATTTAAATATTATTATTATACAGGATTTATATATTATTATACAGGATTTAAATATTATTATTATACAGGATTTATATATTATTATACAGGGTTTATATCTTATTATTATTATTATACAGGATTTATATCTTATTATTATTATACAGGATTTATATCTTATTATTATACAGGATTTAAATATTATTATTATACAGGATTTATATCTTATTTTTATTATTATTATACAGGATTTATATCTTATTATTATACAGGATTTATATATTATTATTATACAGGGTTTATATATTATTATTATACAGGATTTATATATTATTATTATTATTATTATACAGGATTTATATAGCGCCAACAGTTTGCTCAGCATTTAACAATATAACAGGAGACAATACAGCAACAATACAGTTCAATACAAGAGGGTTAGGAGGGCCTGATCCTTGGAGCTTACAATCTAAGATACTTTATATTGCAACCTCTGCTGTACTTTTTAAGAATGCCTGGATCGCCAAAGGAGTTTAGTGACTCTATAAATGCACAATATATCAGCAGATCCCTTCTTAGGAGGCAACAGGGGTCCTATGTCAATCCTTGCATCACTGACAAGTGTCACTATGGATAGACAGACACTGACCAATGGACAGCGGGGGTCCTATAAGGACTGCAGCGCCATATATCTCAGTGCTAGTAAAACATCTGTGCAGGGAGTGAGGAGAGGAGCGGAGTGTGTACAAGATCATTTAAATCTCCAGGAACCCAGGTGACCATCCCAGTGGATGTTTTTTGTTTTTACATACTGTCACCCTAGCAGTAATGTGTCACCATAGTGACACTGTACTACTTGTGGGGGGTGATGAAGATTTTTTTTTTTTTTTTTTTTACACCGATTGCTTTTACACCCATAAAGGCTGTAAAAGCAATACTTTCTCCTTCTCTCTGGCTGCATTCTTGCAGCCATTGAGAAATACTTTGTGAGCTGTGATTGGTCACAGCTTGTCACATGATACAAGGCTGTTGTGAATAGCCCTCTACCATGTGACCTCTGTGATCATTTACAGATTTCACACGTAGCAAGCAATGATGTCAGGAAGTGACATCTTGTTTACTACTGTTCCTGGGATCACTGATTGGCCAATCAGTGATCACATGATCGGGACCTCACACAGAGGTCCTGTAGAGCAATCTGGACACAGCGGGCACCGGATCGCGGTGCCGCGCACTCCCAGGGAGCGCGCACAGGCAGTGAATGCGGAGGCCGTTCATAAACGGCCACCCGCTCCTGCACTGCTCCCGTCCAGCCGGTTATATACATGCCGGACGGGAAGTGGTTAAAAGCACTAGATCAATGTTTTTTTTGATCCAATGCTTTACATTGTAGAGGAGAGATGTGGGGTCTTATTGACCAGATTGCGGTGCTGCGCACTCCCAGGTAGCGTACACAGGCAGTGAATGCGAGGGATGTTTATAAACGGCCACCTACCCCTGCACTGCTCCCGTCCGGGTGTTTATGTACATGTGCCAGACGGGAAGTGGTTAATCAGTGGTGTGGCCCTAAGACTTCTTTTTCTCTGGGGGAATAGGAAGAGCAATTATCAGCCGGTCCCTCTGACACTCCAGGTTGTGGGCGGGCCCTCTGTGTTCTCACTTACAATGTAGGACTGCTGGCCTTGCATTGTATGTGATGATATCAGAATGCACACAAGCAACAGAGCATCGAAGAGAAGCCGCTTGGAGGGACCAGTCCTGCATGGGGGGGGGGGGGGGGGGGGAGAATTCCTGCAGGATTGAGGAGTGAGATAATCATAGTTTCTTCTGATGTTGCCCTTCAAAAAAAATGAATGTTTAACCCTTGTAGTTCAGAGTGAGCCCCACTACAAGGGTCATTCTTTATTTCTGAGGTTCAGCTTTGAAAAGACCCCGTCATTACGTTTAACTTCCTGGCGCCGACCGAACGCAATTGTACCTAGACGCCGAGCGGCCGCACATTTGCGTTCTATTAAAAAAAAAAAAACATGTGCTGAGAGTGCACGCCCTGCACACTCCCAGCACACATGTCTGGTACTCACGGAAAGGTCTCGATCTCCTCTTTCGATCGGGACCTTTCCCGATCATGTGACCGCCGTGACGGTGTCTCACATGACCCTAAACCTCCTGAAACCGTTAAAGGGCCGTGAGGCGCCAGCACCAAGGGGTTAACACAGTCTTCCCTTCAGTCTTGCCCAGTTGTACCGCCTCCTCTCCTGGACTGAAACGGCTCACTCTGATTTCACTGCACACTGTGAGCTTCTCACAATGTGCATTAGAAGTCAGAAAGAGCCCGTTCCATTTCCTAGCTGGAGGATGTCGAGAATTCTAGCCCCTTTCCTCCCCAGCCTTTCAATCATTGGATTCCAGTTCTTTAACCCCTTCCCGCCGGCGCCTCCTGGCCCTTTAAGAGTTTCAGAAGCTGGGAGATGGGACGGGCGGGGTTTAGGGATCATGTGACCGCCGTGACACATCATCACGGCGGTCACATGATTGGGAAAGGTCCCGATCGAAAGATCAGACCGGGACCTTTCCGTGAGTACCGGACACGCGTGCTGGGAGTATGCTGGGAGTGTGCAGGGCGCGCGCTCTCAGCACATATGTTTTTTGTTAATTGCACGCAAATGTGTGGCCACTCGGCTTGTAGGCCCAGACGCCGGGAGGCCACACATTTGTGTGCTGCCGGCGTGAAGAGGTTAAATCATGGAGGCTCAGCATTACATATAGACATTACCAAGGGTGGTCTGCAAGCAAATACATCCTGCTTAGGAACACCCACTCCACACTGACACCCACCCATCAAGGAATTTTGATATTTGCACAGCTCCTCCCAAGAGCTAACCCACCACTTGCACCAGGGCTGAGGAATCTTGAGAGGAGTACTGAGGCAGGGTTCTGTAATGTTTTCATGAAGATATGTACAGCACCCTGATGGTTCCTCCTGCCAGCCACGATCTGCTTACATTTTAGAGATAACATCAGAGACACAACGTTGGCATCGCTGAATCTAAAATATGATATGCAAGGAAAACAGAAAGTCTCATTGGCATGTTTAAGGGAATGGGGGAATAATGGGAAAGGGATGAACCAGGTAAGGCTTTGAACATCTATCCAAATCTTTTGATGCCGACATGTTCAGGAGCCATTTCAGAAAACGACGTGTACGATGAATCAAGAGGCAGTGAACCGTATAAGAACGAATACCGACCTTACCCACAGAGGGGAACCCGATCAGTGCCACCCGGGCATCTCCTGATTTCATGACATCGAAGCCGTCTCCTTTGCCGGTGGCCGATTTGGTTGGCTCTAGAAGCTGCGCGCGGTACTTGGCGAGTTTAGCCTTCAGCAGACCCAGATGGTACTCCGTAGCTGGAAGACAAAGCCGGGATCGGGTCACATGACACAAACGGCATGACACCATCAAATCCCAAGATCAGACCAGTTACTTTAACCCCTCGCCTACCGGGCACTTCTACCCCCTTCCTGCCCAGGCCAATTTCCAGCTTTCAGCGCTGTTGCACTTTGAATGACAATTGCGCGGTCATGCAACACTGTACCCATATGAAATTTTTTATCATTTTTTTTGTGACCGATAGAGCTTTACTTTGGTGGAATTTAATCACCTCTGGGGTTTTTTATTTTTTCTTAAACAAACCAAAAACCACTGAAAATTATGAAAAAAAACGTTTTTTCTTAGTTTTTGTTATAATATTTTGTAAATAAGTGATTTCTCTTCTTCACTGATGTGCGCTAATGAGGCTGCAGTGATGGGCACTGATAGGCTGCACTGATGGACACTGATAGGTGGCACTGATGGGCACTGATGAGGAGGCACTGGTAGGTGGCACTGATGGGCATGGACAGGCATCACTGATGGGCATTGACAGGCATCACTGATATATGGCACTGTTAGGCAGCACTGACTGGCATTGTTAGGTGGCACTGATTGGCAGCACTGATAGCTGGCACTGATGGGCGACACTGAAAGGCAGCTCAGATGGGCACTGATATGTGGCATTGATGTGCACTTGTAGGCACTGATATGTGGCATTGATGTGCACTTGTAGGCACTGATATGTGGCATTGATGTGCACTGGTAAGCATTGATATGTGATATGTGGCATTGATATGTGGCATTGATGTGGCACTGATGGGCACTAATGGACACTGACAAGGCACTGCTGGGGCTACACTGATCATCAGAGCACACTGATCATCAGTGCCAATCAGTGCACATGTCCCCTCCGCGGAATGCCAATTACCGGCTCTCCTCTCCTCTGTCAGTGTGACAGCTCGAGAGGAGAGAAATGCCGATAACCGGCATTTCCCTGTTTACATGTGATCAGCTGTGATTGGACACAGCTGATCACATGACTGAGCCGACATCTTCGGCTCTTTCCATGGATCGTTGATCCGCTGTGTCCGAGGGGCACAGCACACCACCGATCGCCGCGCGCTCCCTGAGCCGCGCATGCGTGGTGAGAATGAGAGGAAGTCATATGACGTCCTCCCAGAATGAGAGAACCACCTTGCGCCTGTCATTGGACTATATGGCGGGTGGGAGGTGGTTAAATGCGTTCTTTATTATATCCTGCAATGGTTTTTACATCAAAATGCCCAAGTCAGAAAAACAGATATCACCTTGGTAGGTGGACACTAGCTGCTAACTGTCCAGAAATGTATAGAGCAATCATATAAGAAAGGCAAACTGAAGTAGGCAAGACCATTTTTGGGAAAATGGCTCCCTTGTCTCCTCCTCCCATGCTCGTCTCCAGGACTTCTCCAGAGCTTCCCCCATCCTCTGGAACTCTCTACCCCAATTTATCAGACTATCGCCTACTCTGCTCAATTTTAGGCGATCTCTGAAAACCTATCTCTTCAGGGAAGCCTATCCTGCCCTCAGCTAATAATGGAATCTTCTATTCTTCCAACCATTCCATCCCCCCACAGTTATTACCTTTTGTACCACCAGCCCCTCCCTCTTAGATTGTAAGCTCCCAGGATCAGGCCCTCCTATCCCTCTTGTATTGAACTGTATTGTTCCTGTATTGTCTCCCATCATATTGTAAAGCGCTGAGCAAACTGTTGGCAGTATATAAATCCTGTATAATAATAATAATTAGAACCCCTGGGCAGTTTGTTTCGCTGTCTGTGCCTCTGTTAAGGCGATTCACCTTCTCTATTTGTCCTGTTTACCATCATCACCAGGAGTGAAAGAAAAATCACAAATTTTGGGTTGTCACCAGAACAGCCATTGAGGAGAAATCATCCAATAGGGACACATCCTCTCTATTTGTCCTCTTTACCATCATCACCGTGTGAAAGGAAAATTTCACATTCTAGGTTGTCACCAGAACAGTAATAGAGTGCAAATCTTCCAATGGGGGCACTATTTCTGGTGACAACCAGGGATTCCCTTACTGTGCAGGTGTAATTTACTATGCTGCAAACTAGGGATGCACAGAAGTTTCGGTGGCTGAAACGTTTCAGCGAAAACACCCATTTTGGCCATTGGCCGAAATGAAAAAAAAAAAAAAAAGCACCGATACAGGTGCTGAAAAAACCTCACCGCCGCCTGCCGCTACTTAGTAGTTCTCAGCCTTACCTGAGAAACCATCGATCCCACCACTGGGCATTTTTTTTAAAGAACTAGATCAATGCTTTTTTTTTTTTTTGATCTAATGCTTTACATTGCAGAGGAGAGATGTGGGTCTTACTGACCCCATATCTCTCCATAAAGAGGACCTGTCACTAATCATTTCTATCACACGGGATGCATGCATTTCTTGTGATAAAAATAAAAGTGATTAAAAATTATTTTAAAGGGACAGTGCAAAAAAATAAATAAATCACTGCTACCTCATCAGTGCCTATCAGTGCTTCCAACTGCCCAGCGGATAAAATTCAAAACACTAACACTGATGTATAAAGCCGTTCATAATTCTGCCCCTAATTACATCACCGACCTTGTCTCTAAATACCACTCAAACCGTACTCTCCGCTCCTCGCAAGACCTCCTACTCTCTAGCTTCCTTGTCTCCTCTTCCCATGCCCGTCTCCAGGACTTCTCAAGGGCTTCACCCATCCTCTGGAACTCCCTACCCCAATCTATCAGGCTATCGCCTACTCTCCTCACTTTCAGGCGCACTCTGAAAACCCATCTCTTCAGGGAAGCCTACCTTGACCCCAGCTAATATTGCAATCCTCTACTCTTCCTACCACTCCATCCCCCACAGCCAATTACCTCCTGTACCACTCTCCCCTCCCTCCTAGATTGTAAGCTCCAAGGAGCAGGGCCCTCAAACCCCTCGTGTATTGAACTGTATTGTCTCCCTCCATAATGTAAAGCGCTGAGCAAACTGTCGGCGCTATATAAGTCCTGCATAATAATAATCAGTGCCGCCTCATCAGTGCTGCCTATCAGTGCCGCCTATCAGTGCCGCCTCATCAGTGCCGCCTATCAGTGCCCATCAGTGCTGCCTATCAGTGCTCATCAGTGCTCATCCGTGCCAGCTATCAGTGCTGCCTATCAGTGCCGCCTCATTAGTGCCCATCAGTGCTGCCCATCAGTGCCTCAACAGTCATCAGTGCCCATCAGTGAAGTGAAGGAGAAAAATTACTTGTTTGCAAAATTTTATAACAGAAACAAAGAAAACTTTTTTTTTTTCACATTTTTTGCTTTTTTGTTTATACTGCAAAAAAATAAAAACCCCAGCAGTGAGTAAATACTACCAAACGAAAGCTCTATTTCTGTGAAAAAATGATAAATATGTCATATGGATACAGTGTTGCATGACCGCGCAATTGTCATTTAAAGTGTGACAGCGCTGGGAGCTGTAAATTGTCCTGGGCAGGAAGGGGGTACAAGTGCCTGGTAGGTGAGGGGTTCAAATGGCCAGACTACCCTAGGTAGTCCACCTGAGTGCTTTCAAAAAAAAACTTGTCGCACTTGTGGTGTCACCCACTGTTACGGGCACCCCAAACACGGCAGGAAGGTGCGAGATAACGTGCGACAAAACACGCAGTTAAAAAAACACACAAAAGCTCGATGTACAAGAAGCTACGAGCTGCGTTGCCGTATTTATCGTACACAAGGAAGCCCGTTGAAATGAATGAGCTGCATATAGTGCAGAAACGCACATAGACACGGCGTGATTTGGCGCAGACTAACGCATTGTACATGAACAGTGAAGTGAATGGGCCCCTGACTCCACCCTCTCCTGGTTTGGGGGGTCACAGCAGCTGTCTGAGGAACTACAACTGCCAGTAATTCCAGGCCATGCTGGTAATTGTAGTCCAACCGCAGCTGGAGCTCCAGGCATACACATGGCCAGCCATCCACCCCTCCCCCTTTACTGTCATGGTGAGCCCTTCCCCCAACCTTTATTCTTCTGGGTCCTGGCGATCTCCTTCTCGATCTCCGAGATCTTCTCCAGGATCCCCATGTCTGCGGCCTGCCACCAGATCACCCACCGCAAGGAACACGGCACCCAGAAGCCGGGGAACAGGGCTCGGCTGTCATCACTCCGCGCAGCCGCGCCGACGGCCATCTTTGATGAGGGCAAGGTGCCCATAAGCTGAAATTTATGGTTTTTCAGATTTAAAAAAAAAACAAAAAAACTGTGTACTTTCAATATGGCATGTAAAAGGCTCATATTTAAGCAGTTTCTATTCACGTTTTGGTTAAAGATAAAAGAAAACCTGAGCAGTCCTGAAAATACCAGTCTCATGGATGTTCTGCTGTTTAAAATGTCAAAACTTTTTTTTGGGGATTTTGGAAAGAGTAAGGGAGAGTTATAACTCCTGCCAGTTGTGTTTTTTGGCCATTCTGGTCCCCTAGGGGAGATTTCCCTTCACTTCCTGTACCATAGCCAAAACAGGAAGTGAGAGGAAATCCCCATAAAGTGAGGGAATCCCTGGTTGTCACCAGAACTAGTGTCCCCATTGGAAGATCTGCACTCTATTACTGTTCTGCTGACAACTCAAAATGTGTAATTTCCCTTTCACGCTCGGTGATGATGGTAAACAGGACAAATAGAGAGAATGAATCTCTATAATGGGGACACAGACAGAAATAAAACCAGTCAGGAGATGGTAAAGCCAGGCGTTTGAGCCATAGTTTTACCACCCGCCCACCTGCCTACATAGTGGCCAACTGTTACGGATTGCCTGATTGTTTTGAATGTTGTCCCGCCATTGCTTAGTCCCTAAAGACAAAAATGTCAGTAAAGTTAAAACTTTTTGTTGGATAGAATAGTGGAGGGTTATAACTCCTGTCCATTTTTTTTAGCCATTCGTGTCCCATAGGGGAGATTTCCCTTCACTTTCTGTACCATAGCCAAAACAGGAAGTGAAAGTAAATCCCCCAAAGTGAGGGAATCCCTTGTTGTCACCAGAATTAGTGTCCCAATCGGAAGATTTGCACTCTATTACTGTTCTGGTGACAACCTAAAATGTGAAATTTTCCTTTCACACTTGGTGATGATGGGAAAGAGGACAAATAGGATGAATTTCCATAATGGAGACACAAAACAGAAATAAAACCTGACAGGGGTTCTAATCCCTCTCCATTCTATCCGAAACTAAAAAAAAAAAAATCCCTTCAGTGACTTTTTAATATTTTGAGGAAGGACATGAAGATTTTATGCACAATAAATAATTATAATTTATAGATATCGTGTTCTATAAAATGTTTCTTTTTTCTGAATTTCCTCTTTCTTCAGACATATCTCGAAATCAGTGACTCAAAATAATTAAAAGCATACGCCACCTTTTGTAGAAACATTCAGGCCTTGTTCACACGCACAGTCAGGGGATGGTAAAGCCAGGCGTTTGAGCCATAGTTTTACCACCCGCCCCACCTGCCTGCATAGTGGCCAACTGTCACGGATTGCCTGATTTTTTTTAATGATATCCCGCCATTGCCCAGTGTCCCGAAAATCGGAGATCAGGGTGGGGGCAGCCTGCATAGTGGCCAACTGTCACGGATCGCCTGATTTTTTTGAATGATGTCCCGCCATTGTCCTGTGTCCCGAAAATCGGAGATCAGGGTGGGGGCAGCCACAGAAAGTGCTTCCTACATCTGCAAGAGCTTAGAGCTGTAAAAAAGATCCAAAAATTGTCCTATGAGTTTGCATAACCCCTGAAAAACCAACAAGAAGCCCAGAAAGTGGGCAAAATGGTTACTTCTGGTGACAATTTTGGGGACTGGTAAATCAAAAAAACAAAAAAATAAATAAAATCCAATATTTTCCAAAATCCAATAAATTTATTGGCTCACAAATTTGCTTTTAAAAAACCACAGCAGCGTGGAATCCAAATATGAATTGACTTGTGAATCGATATTAACATTTCACCCATGGACAAACAAACAAGACATGACAACCAACAATGACATATAAAGCAAAAAAAAAAAAATCTCAGCGGTGAAGAAACACCACCAAAAGAAAGTTTTATCTGTCCCAAAAAAATGCTACGTCCTCATGCACACGGGATGTTTTTACAGCAGCTGTTTTTGGCTTTTGATGTTTTTTTCTACAGCCAGTAAACCAACCCAGCATGTTATCCTATGTGTCCATAACACTGTTCAACAAATTTTTATTTTTTGCCAGTTTTGGAAACAAAACGATCCATTTCTTAATGAATTTCACATTCTGAGTTCAAATATAACAATGAAATTTGTCAATTGGCTCTAGTTTTTCTGTAAACGGAAAGTTTTCTACTATAGGCGTAATGACTACATAATGCACAATAATTATATAGATAGATGTCTTTCCACAAATATAAAGCAAGTGATATTGACTACATAACAAAGCCTAAATGGCATAATATATTGCATAGGATTACCAAGAAAAATTATAGCCATAAGCTAAGTTGAATCATTTTAATACTTAGGATTCTCACTAGTTTTGTCTTCAGTTTGTGTCGGTTTTGCTTCTCTTGGCTTTTCTCTTGTATTCGAGGAAAGGGCTATCTCTTACAACTGCACGTGACTACACGCTTCAGGTTCTTCCTCACTTGACTCAACCACGAAGGATTCTGGTGCTTTAGGAATTGGTAGCCCCTCTCCATGAGGAACTGGATGTATTGCCGATGGAATATTTGGATAGTGCACAGATAACTTTTTCTTCTTATTTAGCCCTTTTACAATTGGAGGCACCATACAAAAGTAACAATTACTAACATGATCTGTTGGCTCTCTCCAAATCATTGGCACAGCGAAAGGCATAGATGCCTTTTTTCCATTCAACCATTGCTCCAGTGCCGTCCCACAAGAATTGCAGCATATATGTGGTGCCCAGCTCTTGTCCTGGTCTCCTATCTTGCAGCCAAAATACAAGTTGTAGGCTTTCTTAATCATTCCTGTTATCCTCCTTTTTTGTGAGATAAAAGTTATTTCACCGCCGATATAGCAGAAATTATCTGCTTTATTCACACAAGTTCGAGGCATTACTGAGTAGCCTATATAAGCATAAAACGAAATGTAAAGACGCTGTCGAACTACAATCAGCTACAGATACTGCAGCTTTTATGCAGTGAAGTGATGCAATTAAAGGCTAATATTGCATCATCTCAGTATACATGCAATTTTCTATTGGTCACCAGTATCAATTGCGCAATATGCAGCTGAAGTTGCATCATAATTTTGAATGGCTTACGTCATTAGATGGGTGAATATATCATGGAAACTAGAGCCAATCAACATTTTTTAGGGTCATTTTCGTTTTCAGCACCCCAAAATTATGTAAGATTAGCTAATTTTATGCCCAAAACTTTTTACCTGTTGAACAGTGTAATCAACATTTTTTGGCTGGAAAACAAACCCAGAACTAGCGGGTTTCTGGAGGAGTTTTTTAGCTGTAAAAACGCTCCAATGCTGAAAAACACAGCAAAAAATATGACATCCCAGAGGTGTTCTATTGAATTTAGGTCAAGCAAGCATGGGGGTTATTCAATTCCTTCATCCTCCAGGAACTGCCTGCATACTCTCCCCACATGAGGCCGGGCATTGTCATGCACCAGGAGGAACCCAGGACCCACTGCACCAGCATAGGGTCTGACAATGGGTCCAAGGATTTCATCCCGATACCTAATGGCAGTCAGGGTGCCATTGTCCAGCCTGTAGAGGTCTGTGCGTCCCTCCATGGATATGTCTCCCCCAGACCATCGCTGACCCACCACCAATACGGTCATGCTGAACCATATTACAGGCAGCAGAATGTTCTCCATGGCTTCTTCAGACCCTTTCACGTCTGTCACATGTGCTCAGGGTGAACCTGCTCTCATCTGTGAAAAGCACAGGGCGCCAGTGGTGGACCTGCCAATTCTGGTGTTCAATGACAAATGCCTATCGAGCTCTATGGTGCAGGGGCAGTGAGCACAGGGCCCACTAGAGGACGTCGGGCCCTCAGGCCACCCTCATGAAGTCTGTTTCTGATTGTTTGGTCAGAGACATTCACACCAGTGGCCTGCTGGAGGTCATTTTGTAGGGCTCTGGCAGTACTCATCCTGTTCCTCCTTGCACAAAGGAGCAGATACCGGTCCTGCTGATGGGTTAAGGACCTTCCAAGGCCCTGTCGAGCTCTCCTGGAGTAACTGCCTGTCTCTGGAATCTCCTCCATGCTCTTGAGACTGTGCTGGGAGACACAGCAAACCTTCTGGCAATGACACGTATTGATCCATCCTGGAGGAGTTGGACTGCCTGTGCAACCTCTGTAGGGTCCAGGTATGGCATCATGCTACCAGTAGTGACACTGACCCTAGCCAAATGCAAAACTAGTAAAAAAAACAGTCAGAAAAGATGAGTAGGGAAAATATTCCTGTGGCCTCCACCTGTAAAACCATTCCTGTTTTGGGGTTCATCTCATTGTTGCTCATCTAGTGCACCTGTTTTTAATTTCATTATCACCAATGCAGCTGAAACTGATTAACAACCCCCTCTGCTACTTACCTGACCAGATCAATATCCCAGGAGTTTTATTGATTGAATTGATTTTATTTTTTTCAGTGTGTATATATATTATGGGGTTTAGATACACTTGATTTTCCATATAAACTGTGAACACAATCAGTAAACCATTTTATTTTTTTCTTTAGCAGTACACTGCCATCTTCTGGTCAATAAAGGGTACAGAATTATTAAGAGACCAAAAACATGGAGTCAACTGAACTGAGTGGTTTAATGAAAGGATTTCAGAAACAGCAGCAATGTCGGAGACATAGTCAGATGATATTCAACAATAATTTCTAAGGAAAACAAAAACTATCATGTGCCGTGCTTGCACCATTACCACACACACACACACTGATAGAATTTGATAGCCCTGTTGGGATCCACAGTATGTGGAATATATAGGTAGTGGTCAGTTGGTGAAGGATCGTGGTCCTCGGTCTGTTCATGGAGCCACTTTGTCTGTTCCATGGGTTCCAGTGCCAGCAGAGAATA